TTTTCTGATGCTCGGACGGAACGAGCAGCGGTTTTACTTGGGGAAATTCTATGACCAAAATTACGAATCAGTTTCACTTTTATGATATCCATTTACTTGCATTGTTTATTTATTTTAAACTTACTTCTTAATAAGAAATATTAGAATTAGGTATGTTAGCTTCGATTTCTATAATATTTGCATTCATCCTTACTGCCCCAGATAAAGACTTTAAAAAAATGTTCTGCTTTAAGAATGTCTGCCATTCAAACTGCAGTTTCCTTATTTATAACACAAACGTTGTGTTATTTAATATGAGTCATCTAAATAGTTATCGGAATTATTTTTACCTCAATCAAACGATTGTCTCATGCTTATCGGTATTTCGATGGTTCTGATAAAAATATAGGTGTAACTGGTATCTCCCATATGATGATGCCAACATGGATTTGTTAAAAAAAGATCAACCTGTACCAATCTAGCCACGTTCACTGAGATGGCGACTGAAGCTATGGACTCTAACAAACAATACGATGTGGTTTACACGGACTTTAGTAAGGCTTTCGACCGCGTCCCACATCGGTTGCTGGTGCAGAAACTTTGCACATACGGGTTAGCGGGTGCCTCGCTGGAATGGGTGCAATCATATCTTGCTGAGCGTTCTTCTTTTGTCGTTGTCAATGGCTTCCGATCTAGCAATTGGAGGGTTACATCTGGGGTGCCGCAGGGTTCCCATCTGGGTCCAATACTTTTTAACGTGTTTATAAATGATTTGCCGACATGTTTCCAATTCTCTGAGAGCTTTATGTATGCTGACGACTTAAAGTTGGGGAGGATAATAGAATCAGAAAAGGATGCCATGCTCCTTCAGAGCGATCTCTGTAGATTGACTGAATGGTGCTATTGTAATGGTATGGATTTGAACGGAAAAAAATGTTTTCATGTTAAGTTTTCTAGAAAAAACAAAATAATAGGCTTTGATTATTTCATAGGAGGTGACAGAATTCAGGCTGTAGACCAAATTAGGGACCTCGGAGTTTGTTTTGATAAAAGGTTGACTTTCCTCCCTCACCTGGAAAACATTGTGGGGAGATCTTCCCGAATGTTGAGTTTCGTGATAAGAAACTGTAAAGTCTTTCGCGATGTTGGGCTGAAAATCATGCTGTATAATAGTCTTGTGCGAAGTATCTTAGATTATTGCAGTGTAGTGTGGAGACCACATTATGCGGTACATTCCCTTCGATTAGAACGCATTCAGAAGAGGTTCTTATGGCATTTGTTACGCAGGGAGAACAAGATAGACAAAAAATCTTCTTACTTGAACAAACTGTCACATTTCGGGATGGTCTCTTTATCTGATCGCAGAGAACTCTCCGATTGTATCTTTATGTATAAGATTTTAAACAATGGTGTAGACTGTCCACAGCTCTTGAGCAAGGTAAATTATAGAGTCCCTTTTTGTTACCCTCGTAAACAGATAACCCCTTTATACCCACCGCGTCGTAGAACAGTGCTTGGTGCAAACTCACCCATACCACGTCTGAGTCACGCCCTGAATAAATACTCTGATTCCACGGATGTTCACTTGGACTCGCTTGGTCGGTTCCGTTCCAGCGTGCATAAATGCATATTATCCAATCTACACAGATAGTGGATTATGTACCTATATGGTTTAGTATTTTGTGTTAGAACTAGACTTAAGGATAGTAATTAAGAACTTTTTTTTTATATACACATATTTGTACCAGTAAATGTTGTGGTTACCTGTAATTGTTTGTTACACATAGGCTCATTCCTCTTTGCTTGCTTGTATTATGCTTACTGTAGTTGTGTAATCAAATGTTGGTAACTCTTAATAAATAAATAAATATTTAAATAAATAAATAAATGATACTGTGAACAATATTAGTTTTGGAATTTAGTGAATGGTAGTATTTGTTTATCCATTTAAATTAGAGACATAAAAGATATGTCTACTCTTTCCTAGTACGATTTCAAACCAATCTTCTATGTAGTTTTTTACCTTTCCGCTCGGTAAATTATGTTTACCTATGTTTGTACGCAAGTTGTAGGATCTCGAATATAGATTAAAATTGACATTGTACTGAATGTTTGTCCAATCCTAGTGTAAAAGTCGCAGTCGCGGAGAACCTAACGGGTTTCCGGGGTTCCGGCTCGAAGTGCAGCAGAAGGAACGGGAAGGATGTTAGTCAGTAGTCTGACACTTCCTTCCGCCTCACCCAGGCGGGAAAAGCCATTTGAAGATTTCCCCCCCTTAAAAAAAGTGTAAAAGTCGCATATCTAGGATTGCGTATATCTTCGTACTGTTGGCATTATACAACAACTTCTACAATATATTGCATGCTGTCATCTCTAGTGTTAGCTAAATGATAGTATTTGTCTTTTTACGTTTTAAGTAACGGGTTAAATCTCTTTAAGTAAGTGTCCAGTTATCTTCTTTACAATCAGCTCCATCCTTTTTTTAATCTTGTTCATATTTATGCATTCTGTTTTAAATAACAGTTGGCGATTAGTTATTGCTGTGCGTGTTCTAATGCATAATGATTTACAGTGCTGTCGTGTATCAACTAGGTTTACGTAAAAAATATAGTATCAGTCATTATAGCCTATTGTTTACCAGTCAGGTTCCTCTTTTCTCTCAGTACCTTCCTTAAGTAAAACTGTTTTAAAGGTTCTTACTGGCAATAATTACACTGTTGATAAAAATATTAAATAATTAGGTTCATATACATAGCTGTGTTAATACTAGACAGTAAATAACTGGAATTTCATAAAACACTTAGCCTATAACTTCTTCTAAAATAAAACTCAACGCAACTTTCCGTAAAGTGCAATCTTCCATTCTTCCGTTAGGAGAACATTGCATCAAAAGAGTATTTATTCGCTAACAGCAAACCTTTGCCCTCATCGACGTCATGCTTTACCTGGACACTTTCAATTTTGACTCAAAACTTCACGGTACACTGACAAAGCTTGTCACAAAAACCAAACATTTATCTATTCCATCATTTCCGATAAGCTGGATTAATTTTATCTGACTTTCACCGTGTATAACTACCTCATGTAACTACTCTCAATCGTGTTCGTGCCTTGACCTATTAACCATTCTATGTGAACTTCACAAGGTTCAAAATCTATTCTAAATTATAATCCAGCTTAGCACTGGTCACAGCATAAGATTTCGTTTAAAAATCTGTTTGTTCCGAGAGAATTTTATGAATAGAAGCATGAAATTTCAAGAATACCATTTCACAGTTGGTCGCTCTGGTATCTCTGACCGTGAAAAAGCGAAAAGATTTTGTCTGACTTTGCTATCAGTGTGATCTTCCTCAAGCATTAGTTCCCTATCATTGGATACTGAAGTAATTGAACAAGTAGAACAAGTAATTGAATGAAGCAATGCTAATTGTAAGTAAGTTGTAGTTTTGGATTGTAATAATCAATCTTATGAACCAATTAGACTAAAGTTGTCTAATAAGTCTCTGGCGTTTGGGCTTAAGTCTCTCACTTAACAAAATCTGAGATATCAAGCAAATTTCGATGCGAAAGTGACTGTTTCTGTTTACATTCTCCCTAAACCGTAACGGAGTATAAAATAAATAAAAAAGTTTATTCAATTCAGTTCCGTTGGACTAATTTAAAAGATTACTCGACCGTTTGTAATCCTCTCACCGACGTAAAGCCTATTTCATGCCGTATCAATGTCTTACATTCTGGAAGTTCTTAGTATAACGGTTGATATTTTGGGTCCCCTTTAGGCCTTCTTGCTTGGTTCTGTGACCTTTCAGTTTCGTCGGCATCACGTCATTTACCCAAGTAATTATTGTATAGGCTGTGACATTTCTTTTTAATTCGGCATCTGCAAACTAGGCCTTATGAGAAATATAGATTTAGGTATATTTTATCCAAAAGGATCCGTTTAAAAGTGTGTGCTTGTTATCTGGTCTTATGGTTTTCATTCATGATAATTGGATCGTTATTTTGGTTTTGTGCAATTATCCGATTTATATTTGATGGATGAATTTTGGATTGGATTTAGTTATCTAACAAAATAAAAATGGCTAACTTACATTTTAATGCTGTTTTTCTCAACAAAATGTCGTGTTGTATTCACTCGTTCCACTAAATTCTATTTAAATATTGTGATAGATGGAACAATTTTTTGCTTCCGGGCGTCATCTACCGGAACAGCTGCGCAACCATTGTTATATTTTTCACTATAAACCCAATTACGTAATACATATGAAAGTGTTACAGTACGCGTTACTGCTCCGAAAGTGAGTTAATCATATTCTTGGTTTATGAGGGAATTAAAGCAATTACATGTTCAACATCTTGTTCACTTATGTAATTGTTGTTGTTGCCTTCTAAATGCTTCCTCCTGCCAGTTATAATTAGACTCGTTATGGGAATGCTTGTGTTATGAATGCACAAGTTGTTGGTGCTCTGTCAATCTTTGTGTCTGTCGTGATTAATATTTTATGATATGCGAGATTTGTATCCTCTGTTGTATTTACAGGGTCTTTCCAAATAAAGAATACATAATGTATATGTTGTCTTGAGATTTGAAACTGAGTACAAGTATTTTCCGCATTTTTATTTCTGATATGCGCTACTAAAAGTATTCCTAAGAAAATTATGACTAATAATAATACTAACTAGTTTAATCACATTCGTACAATTATTTTCCTCGCTAATATTAATAAGAAGAACCATAAAAATAATAATATACACTTAAGGAGAATGATTAAATATCAAGATATAAATGTTAAACCCGGAACTCGAAAACGACTAGACCGAACAGCTAATCGATAATTTTTGGATCCTGATATATTTTATAAAACCTATAGACCAACCCTGAAGATTCATTTGTTGTTGCCTATTAAAGACTTAAAACCAACCACAACCACCACCTCTAGCCTTTAGTATACTTAAAATAAATCCTTACTTCAAGCATAAACTTGCAACTAATCTTTATATTTTTCTTTTTCCAGTAAACAATGACGATGGATAAGCAACTGGTTTGGGTGAGGGACCCCAACGAGGGGTTTATCCTCGCCCGGCTGCACGAGTTGATGGGAGAAGAAGCAGACGTCTTCCCCATCGACAACAAATACCCCAAGCGAGTCTGCAACTTTGAAGACATATTCCCAGCCGGTGATCCTGCTAAGAGTGTTGATGATAATTGTGAGTATAACTTGGAATTGTAATGAAACCAAGCTATTTATGATTAGTCCGAAATTTGAATGAAAGGTTGAATAAAAAAAACTACGAAATTCAGAGCTTAGAAAGAAATATATCAGATGATCTTTTTATCTCTTTTAGAATCTAAAATTTTTTTTTTTTTTTTTTTAAAACATTGCCCCACACTAGGATTATCTCCTGTGTCGTGGGTGCGTTTACAAACATACAAGTTCACATACACATGACACCCAGACCCGAAACAACAATTTGTGGATCACACAAAGTGTTGTTCCGTGCGGGAATCGAACCCGCGACACGTTGCACGGCAGCCGGTTGCCCAGCCACCGCACCAACCGTGCATTCAAAAATTGCAAGCCGTAAAGAAGATTTAAAATGCTATGCTATTTTCTATCAATATATATAAAAATGAAACCCGTTTCCCGTTGTCACGCCATAACTTGAGAACGGCTAAACCGATTTGGATGATTTTTTTTATTGTGTTTATTATTGTCAGGAGAAGGTTCTTATGAAAATCCTACTGGAACTGGAGAAATGGGATTGCGCGTACGAAGTCGCGGGCAGAAGCTAGTAAATTATAAATATCATTTGCTAAGTTAACTTAATAAAACGTTACTTTAATACGCAATGGGATAAGTTTAATTATAATATTTATTCACAATATAATCAGACAGCTGTCCGGAATTAATTGATATTACAAGTCTTGAAGCTAAATCTATAATTTCCATCCCTGCGTAGCGTGAGATCTCAGTAACTTTGTTCCTGATATAAAACTTAACCTGTTTTAAACAAGTTCAGGATTATTTTCTCATCGTCTTATTTTATTAGTCTCGTTTCTTGCACTATCATTATAAGGGGAATTTTAATACCTTTCATGGGAATTAAATGGTCAAGATCTGAGTATAGGGTTTTATGGCAATTTAGTTCGTTATTACTGACTTTAGTTGCAACTGACTGGTTCTTCTGCTTTTGTCTGTCTAGCTGTGTTGTACCTTGGTTGATTTCATAAGGATAATAATATGAAGTCATCTAAGAAGGTGAAAATGAATCTGATCTCAGGACTGACTCACCAAAACTCGGGGCAATGGAAAAATATTTACCTAGACTAAACATCTCCAAAAATCTACAATACGTTAAAGGTTTTAGTTATAAATATCAAATTATTAGCAAAGAAAGGTCAATGAAATCATTATCGAGTTCAATTCTGTTAAACACCTATTGTAGGTATATGATTAAACATCTATTGTACTTTTAACCCATGTTTGCAACCGAATTAATTTATTTGATTTCGTCGGTTTGAGCAATCAGTCACACTTCTAAATGAAACATCTCTATATACATATTTTGACTCACAAATGTTTGATTTGCGTTGATGGTGGCAGAATAAAATATGTAATGCACATTCCATTGATTTGTTTTTGTATGGGATAAGCCAGTAAACGAGCAGACGGATCACTTGATGGTTAGCAATCGACGTCGCTCATGGACACCTGGAACACCAGAGGCGTTACAAGTGCGTTACCGGCCTTTTGGGATTAGGAATTTGAAGATTGTTGGGGATTCAGGGATTGAGGAAGGGGGCTGGGGTAATTGGGCTAATAGGGTAACCTCACTCATACGATGAAACACAACGTGCGTTGCGTGTTGTTTCACATCGGTTTTCTGCTCGGCCGTGGTATCACGCCGGTCGAGCTGCCCCATTCGTGCCGAAGCATGGCTGTCCCACACTTAAATTATGGAATGTTGATGACTTTGAACTAACAGCACAAACTTCTTTCAGGCGAGCTAATGTTCCTAAACGAAGCTACACTATTAAACAACATCTTAATACGTTACAAGAAGAATAAGATCTACGTAAGTATACACCTCACTTTGCTTTCTATGACTCATTTCAAATGCCTGAATGTTTTTACCTTGAAAAATATTATTATACATACCTATAGCTACATAGTTACCGTAGAGAATTATGTTCGAGTATCGATTCCGTTGGTTTTCCTTGTCAAATGACTTTTACTATCGCCCGTATACTGTGTACTTAGATTATTCTGTACAAATTACTGATTAACTTTTATTGTTCTGAATGTACTCGGTTCATTTTGTTTCTGTTACTTTTTTATACTAGGTATGCGATGTATAATCCCAGATATTAGACAGTAGGTTGAGTCTTCCGATTGTCCGTAATTTGTTGTACAATAACTGCTAATTAATGAGCAAATCCAAATAGGGTAGTTGCCTAAATATTTTCATGTTCGTCTGGTAGATTAATTTAAAACATTACACACGTAATTTTTCTTTTCTCACAAAATTAAATACTTTCGACGATATAATAATCTGAAATATTGTGTGACGTCACAATGCGCTACATTTTGTAGCACTTAGTGACGTAACGACCTCTCACTCCTAAACTTAACTCCATTTTATCTAAGTATTCTAACTTGTATACGAGAAAATAAAAAACACGTGACTAATTTTTTAATTTCATTATCTAACTGACGGACTAATTAGATTTTTAATTTTCATTCCGTGGCAACTACCCTATTCTATGATACAAATGAAATTGTACTTGCAAAACACATAATCATTTTGAAAATAGAATTCTCTCTATGAGTCTCTAACTAGGTACACAACTCGCATAAGGTTTAAATACCGATAATTGAAGGCAATGGTATCTGCAGAAAACTAGTTAATTAATATGAATTTTAATATTACAGACATACGTAGCCAACATCCTATTGGCTGTGAACCCTTACGAAGACATTCCTGACATGTATTCCTCCAACACCATCAAGAAGTACCAAGGAAAGTCGTTAGGAGAACTGCCACCCCATGTCTTTGCTATCGGTAAGAATGTAACCATTCTAAATGCAATTTTATTCGTTTTGGATAAAGTCTATAATTGAAGAAATAGTTCTGATAGTTCTTTCTAACTGCCAGAAATATTTGTACAGCATTTTTATCCAAAAATATTTGAAATTATAAGTTATTAAATCAATATATACATAGCGGTATTATGTAGAAGAATTCTATTGATGAAAAGTATTGTATTTGTACTTGTATTTATTTATTTTACACTTCTAACATATTTCTGTAATAGCAGGGTTAATGCCAGAAATATTCTCTGCCTTTGTTAGTAAACACCTACTCTAAGAACAAATGACATCATAGATACTCATTCTACCTTTATTTGTATGTGGTTAACAGATTTTAAGTCCTATTAATTGGAGAGAAAGTTCTAAAATATTTACCTATAATATCTGACTATTCCCTTTTTAGAATAAATCTGCGCAATACGGATCTAATCTTAAATGAGTTTTACAGTATTTGTAAACACGGTTGTGTTTTCTGTAGCAGTGTACAAATACCTCCAATCTATAAAATTTATTTTGTTAATGGATTTTCGACTTTATCACAAAACCATATAGTTAAAATCTATTAAGAGGTTGTTTGATAGTATAAGATTTGTATTAAACCATCAGCATTAGAAACACTTTCTGAATTTATGAATTATTTAATTTAAAATTAATTTCAATTAACTTACTGGCACTGATATCTTCCTCATTTTATTTTCCCTTTGTGATTTAATTTGAAAGCATCAAGCATACACTATACAGTTTGAATTATGTATTTGCTCACTACTCAGTTTTCTATTTACGCTGCTCATGAGTATAGGTCCCTGTCTAACTTGAAACCAGTTGAGCATTTCTCGATTAGTTCACATGCGTATATTATTATTATTATTTTATTACCTATCTTTGTATTGTAACTAGCTTGAAACTAGTCGAGTTCCTCGTCGAACTACGTGAGTAAGCCGAAAACATAATAATTTATTACCTATCTATATATTTCAATTAATTTAACATGTACTATTTCTCCAACAGCCGACAAAGCCTTCCGTGACATGAAATCGCTGAAGATGTCTCAGTCTATCATCGTCTCCGGCGAGTCCGGTGCTGGTAAGACAGAGTCCACGAAGTATATACTCAAGTACCTCTGTGAGTTGTGGGCCAAAGCCGCTGGACCCGTCGAACAGAAGATTTTGGATGGTAAGTCTTTTATTAGTATGGTTTGTTTGTAGTAATTTCTCTATAGTTAGCATTTCAGTCATACAAGAACATAGGTTAGGTATACTGCTGAACATATTTACTTTGCATGTCCTAAGGTTAGATATTTAGAAAATAAGTATCAAAGTAGTGTATAGCACAATTACTTTGTTATTATGTTTATTTTACACTAGGTATTGTAGGTATTGTTATAAAGGAAAATTATAATTATAATATATTCTAATAAAAGTAATATAGTCCTAAGAGATCGCTTTATCAAAAGCTATACGTAGTAAGTAGTTATACGAACATTTCCAATTTACCTATTTTAGAGTTTATCGTTTAAGTAAACAATGGATCCATGTTTCTAGTTTGGTTTACAATATCTGATTACCATTCAGCTACCATTGTGCTTATTACATACACCCAGTAATAATTGAATTTGCACACTAATCGCCTACATAACATATTCAAGTTTCTAAAACCTGTCTCAACAAGCAGCTGATCTAAGACAGAATATTTAAATTACATAAATAAATATTTTACATCATAACGCCACCGATGCTGCAATATTATTAGTTTACAATAATAATACCAAACGCAACCAATATCATTGACATCAATACATAATCAAATTCTCGATATTATTCTGATTTCATATCATTTATTTGTGCTATTCTCCGAAACTGCTGAATGGTTTTTGAAATAATAACATACGCATGTAATAATAACATGATATCACGCCTGTTATTCCCCATTATTCGTGTCATTATTCTAAATATAATTGATAAATCTATTGCCAAAATATCAGACGTTTTTGTAAAAATGGAAAATTATTAAAGCGTCTCGCCAAGTGACGATGGAGTATTAAACATATTATCTTAAAACTACCCCATTCCAAGTACTGCTCTGAGCCGGGCTCTATTTATGATAACCAGATTCCAGATTATAATATAGCAGACTCTGTTACCTGATAATGGCGAAGTTCAATAACCCCATTAAGCTAGTGGCCTGCAGTGACGCACTCTTCGAGTAATGAGGCTTTATGCGACGAAAACTTTCTATTATTTCGATCTTATAGATCGTAAATGAAGCCTATTTTATAACAAAACAATACCGCATTTTATAATTTTCATCTATAGGATATCCTATCCCATCTTCTCCCATCTATAGCTTCAATGGTTTCATTCTGTGCGTCATTCATTCGTTCATACATAGGTACATAAAACTCATGACGTGGTTCCATTAACCATGTGCCTACATAAGTCGAAAGCCATAGATATGACAGAGTCACTAGGACCATGATCCTTACATGAATGAAAATAGCTTCACACGTAGGAAATATTCATCAACAGCCTATAAATGCCCACTGCTGAGCAAAGCCTCTTCTCACACGGAGAAGGTTAGAGCATTAATCACCACGCTTGCTCAATCCGGGTTGGGGATTTCAAACTTATAATTAGAAATTATAAGTCCAGGTTTCCTCACGATGTTTTTCCTTCACCGTTTGCCAGTGGTGTCTAAATAATCTTAGAAAGTACATATAACTCGGAAAAAGTCACATTGGTACTTGCCGTTGGTAGGTTTCGAACCCGCACCCTCATGCATGAGAAGTGGGCGTCTTAAACCTCCGGGCCACCACGACACTTAGGAAATATTATCTGATCAATAATCCAGTTATAATAAAAAAAGCTCCTAAATAGATAGAATTTTATCAGAAAAAAACTAGAAATAGAAACAGATATTGCATTTTCAAATAAACCAGTTAATCTACTTTTATTTTCATTAAAACTGGAGATTCCAATGAAGGTCGTTGGTTATGTAAATAGAAGATGATTCGGCCTTGTGGTACCGTTGCAGCATATTGATCATATACCACCGTCCACCGTACAAGCTATGCACACCCAGTTCATCATGGTCTCGCTTTCTATGGACTATACACACTTCAAAGACCAATTTATACTGGTTTTGTTTAACTTGATGTGTTGTGTGTGTACAACGTACATAATTGTTATATATCATGTTACGCTTCATGTTCAATGAATAAGTGTAATTAGTAGTGTTAATTAACGTATGGTATGACTGTAATGTTACTTGAATTATGTTTTGGATGTTTTTTGTATGTGAATTATTATGTTATTTCAGAGATTTTTAAAAACTGCGACTGCACGGTTGGTGCGGTGGTTGGGCAACTGCCGCGCAACGTGTCGCGGGTTCGATTCCCGCAAGGAACAACACTTTGTGTGATCCACAAATTGTTGTTTCTTGTCTGGGTGTCATTGTGTATGTGAACTTGTATGTCTGTAAACGCACCCACGACATAGGAGAAAATACTAGTGTGGGGCAACGTTTAAAAAAAAAAAAATCGTGTCTGGTTCGCGGCCTGGAGCTTTCCATCTTGATTAAGGATATAATTTTTCTCCAATACGTTTATGCTGTAATATATTGCACCAGTGAAGCATAAAAGAATTAGACGACCAAATACTTGACATTAGCAGCCTATTCACAAAAAAATGTAGCTGCGGCGGATTAAGAAACAGGAATCCTTGGCTCAATCATTCCTAACTTTGCTAACATATGTCGCATATATGTATATTGTATAGTAAGCATTTACATGATAATAATACAGCTTATTTTCTTCTACAGCCAACCCGATCTTAGAAGCATTCGGTAACGCGAAGACAACACGTAACAACAACAGTTCCCGTTTCGGCAAGTTCATGGAGGTGCATTTCAACAACAAATACCAAGTCGTGGGCGGGCACATCTCCCACTATCTTCTAGAAAAGTCTAGAATATGCACACAGAGTGCAGAAGAAAGAAACTACCATGTGTTCTACCTTCTATGCGCCGGCGCACCTCAAGAACTCCGCACTCAATTGAAAATTACCAAACCTGATGATTATTTGGTTAGTTCTTTTGTGTATGATTTGAGTTTTTAATCTACATGCAATTAGGTACTTATTGTATAGTTTATCTTTGCCTTTGTAAAAAATTCGCCGAAAAACCGGCAAATGTTTTTCAAAATAATTATGATATTTTTTACAATTATTATTATGTGCAGAAAAGATAAGATTACATGTAAAATCAAAGGTTTACAAAGTTACTAAGCAGGAGCTATTTTAATGATAATTTTTATGCATTGCTTCTTTATATTAACCACACAAAAACAGATTAACCCTTTGAGTACCGTCATTATAGACACAAAGAACAATAGCTTGCGGTCACCGATGTCTTCGCGGTGTTTGACAGTTTAAAAACCCTATGGGTGTTGGTAAAACACACATTGGTCATACTTAAGTAAAGAAACTTATTTTCTGTACGAACCTAAACTGTTTTTAAAAGGAAAACTAACTCAGAAATAATTATTTTTTTGTCCTCTAGTATTTGAAGAACGGATGCACACAATACTTTACGTCACCGAGTTCTGAGAAGAAGATCAGCGCTGACCGCAAGAGTAAACAGCAGCAAGCCAAGGGCGGCCTCAGGGACCCCATACTTGATGATGTCGAGGACTTTGAGAGGCTCCATCAGGTAATATTGTATTTTATAATTGTTTTGAATTAAATAATTGTTTCTTTAAGTTAATACTGCGGTTAGCTACAAGACCAAAGGTGTCTTTCAAACGTAGGGGTTTTGCTTAACAGGGATTTAGTAAATGTTGATGAGATTGCGTGAGTTTGATAAAGTCTTAGAGGAATAGAGTTATGATATTTAAAGGCTTAAGAATGCTTTCCAGTCATCATGACTTGTAAGAAACTATTTATGAGGAAGAACTCTACAGAGTTTCTTATCTGTTCGCTTCATAGAAAGCTATATATCAAATTGAAATATATTATTTAGTTTTCTTCACAGAAGATTTAATTTATTTTAAACTTTCTATTTTGTTTTTCTTTTTAAAACGTTGCCTCACATTAGGATTTACTTCTGTGTCGTGGGTGCATTTACAAACATACAAATTCACATACACATGACACCCAGACCAGAAACACACATCATCAGCAACAGGATCACACAAAGTGTTGTTCCGTTCGGGAATCGAACCCGCGACACGCTGTACGGCAGCCGAATGCCCAGTCACCGCACCAACCGTGCAGTCATCCTGATTGTTTACTTCATTTGTGTTACCTCCAGGCGCTAGCTCGAGTGGGTCTCTCGGAAGAAGAGCGTGTAGCAGTGTACGGCGTGGTGAGCGGCGTGCTGCACCTGGGGAACGTGGAGTTCGAGGAGGACAGCGGCGCGCGCGGCGGCTGCAGGGTGGCCGCGCACTGCGAGCCCGCGCTGCATACTTGCGCCGCGCTGCTGGGGGTGGACCCCGCAGACCTGCGCATGGCGCTCGTCGCGCGGCTCATGCAGAGCAGTCGCGGCGGGGCCAAGGGCACCGCCATCATGTAAGTACTGCCATCTGAACAGGGCAAACAAACAATGATGATCCTAGTGATCAGCACCAGCCATTTTTAAAAGGGTTTTTGAAGGATGTGATGAGGAGTTTAGCAACCTACATTACCAAATCTGAATTTTTTCACTTCTCTGCAAAAATGGTTCCAAACCAGATTATTTCACCAAAATAACTTCATAATTCTTGTTATAATTTTTCAACAATTGTTTACTGCATACTCTTAACATTATTTCCCGAAAAAATAGGCAAAGGTGCACATAACGGCACTTAATGCCACTGTACAATGTAACACCCAATTTTCACTATGTATAAGTCCCATGTAATAGAAGGTAAACTGAGAGGTGAGTACTGCAAACTCATCGTGCTTTATTCATCACGTTTTTAATTTAACTCTTTGATATTTCCAGGGTACCCCTAAAGACGTACGAAGCCAACAACGCCCGCGACGCGCTCGCGAAGGCAGTGTACAGTCGTCTGTTCGACTACATCGTCCATCGCATCAACGCCAGCATCCCATTCCAAGCGTCCGCATACTACATCGGTGTACTCGATATTGCTGGGTTTGGTGAGTCATTCATTACATTACGTATCATTATCATCATCATCATCAACAGCCGGAAGACGTCCACTGCTGGACAAAGGCCTCCCGCTTAATCCTCCACGTCGAACGACAACTCGCTACCTGCATCCACTGATTCCCTATTACGTATTAAGCTGGAATATAAAAAACTCCGAGTAAAAACAGTGATACAAACTCATATGTTTGATTAATACTAGAAAAACGGCCTGGTATGGATATACAGAATCATAAACAGAATGTCCAACTGACAACATTCTTAAGTAGGTTTTAGGTTTCATCATCAACCAAAAGACTGCCACTACTGGATAAAAGCCTGCTCCTTAGTCCTCCACGTTTTAATATTTAGGTTTAGTTACATTTTATTACCAAAACACATTAGTAGTAGCACCATTTAGCTGATTTAATAAACAAATATACCATAAGATTATAAGGCATAAAAGACTCTTTTGTCACTGCATCAGAAATCCTTTTCCTATATACCTCCAGTGTAACATGGAAAGAAATTATCATCTTTAAAGACATCTTAATTGAATACTTTTAATCTATTACAGAATACTTCCAAATGAACAGTTTCGAGCAGTTCTGCATCAACTACTGCAATGAGAAGCTGCAGCAGTTCTTCAACGAGCGCATCCTGAAGAATGAACAGGAACTATACAAGCGGGAGGGACTTAATGTACCTGAGATCAGATTCGTTGACAACCAGGATTGTATTGGTAAGCTATTTTCAGCTTTATCTTTATAGTTTTAGAGTCTTTTTTACATTGAACATGTTTTAGAAGTGTGTTTAATGGGAAGTAAACTTTATTTGAATGATTATTGAGTTTAATTTGTGAAATTAGGATACTGTGTAGCTGTAGCACATGCATAAGTTTTTCAGTCTCTTATCTTAACCAACATCTGCAAGTATTTATTCAATTAAACAGTAGATAAGTCTTATTTCTACTATGTTTTCGAAATTTATTTGTTCTAAAAACATTAATTAATAAACGTATGGCGCTAGATGTTATTTATTTTGTATACATTAAACTGTATTATTTGTCTTACAGATCTAATTGAAAGCAAGAACCACGGTATCTTCCACCTGCTGGATGAAGAGTCGAAGCTTCCCAAACCAGAGTTCAGCCACTTCACTCACTCCGTACACAAACAACTCGGTGTTAATAATAACAGGTAGCATTATGTGCTTTATAACATTTTACTCTATCTCTTTAACTTTAAGATTGGAATTTGCACGGCAGTACTAAATAGGGTATCGCGGAGAAGTGTTTATATTGTTTTGTATTGTCATTTGAATGTCAACTTTAATATGTAGTAATTACGTTTTAGACTGCAAGTTCCTCGTTCATCTCGTCTGAAGGCACATCGCACACTACGTGATGATGAAGGATTCTTACTACGTCACTTCGCTGGGGCCGTGTGTTATAATACTGTGAGTATTTTTTAAATAATAATAAATAATTTTACAATTTAACAGTTAGTACGAAATAGGATGTATTTCCTTCCTTCTCCGTGTGTGAAGAGGCTTTGCTCAGCAGTGGGCATTTATAGGCTGTTGATGATGATGATGATGATGACGATGTCTTTATAGTTTATTATAAGGTTTTACATATCAAAATAAATACCCCCTTTCTTGTTCTTAGTCTTTTGCAACTTCACTCGATTGAAAATGTTTGAGTATTATATTCCAATACCTTTAAGACAAAACACCACACCAAACTTTTTTTTCTGCCATAAGCCGGTAAACGAGCCGACGAATCACCTGATGGTAAGCAATCGGCGTCGCCCATAGACACCTAGAACACCAGAGGCGTTACAAGTGCGTTACCGGCCTTTTGGGGATTAGGAGTTTGAGGATCATTAGGGATTCAGTGATTGGGGGAAGGGTAATTGAGCATCCGGTAACCTCACTCACACGACGAAACACAACGCAAGCGTTGCTTCACGTAGGTTTTCTGTAAGGCCGTGGTATCATTTCGGTCAAGCCGGCCCATTCGTGGCGAAGCATGGCTCTCCGACTTTACAAATATTGCATATATAGTATATTTCTTTATTTTGACTTGCGTAGATACAAATGCCTAATTAACACCATTGTCTGTGTATACTGGCACAATAATAACATCGTCATATCTTTCACAGAATCAATTCATAGAGAAGAACAACGACGCTCTTCACGCGTCTCTGGAGTTCCTCGTCCAGGAATCAAACAGCAAGCTCGTGCAGCATCTATTCCAGAACACGGACAACAATAATGCTAAAGGAAAGCTGAACTTTATCTCCGTCGGAGCTAAGTTCCAATCTCAACTGTCACAGTTGATGGATAAGTTGAAGGAAAATGTAAGTTGTGTGTTAATATTACATATTGTACTTGTTGGGGATGAGTCTCTTCAATAAATTAGTAGAATGTAGGTATTTAAAAACTGGTGTATTAAAAAGAATAGAAACGGTAAGCTTGTGTCCGATCGATCCCAAAGACAATAAGGCTCCCGGCCGGCGCTCCCCCCGCTACACTACTTTTATATTTTTTGTAAGGAGTATGTTTAGTAGTTTCGGCCTTTTGCCCTTCCCTTACCTTCCGATAGTCAAATATAACTAAATTTGATTATTATTATATTTTCGACTTCAGTTTACACGAAATTATATCCGTTTCACGATTCTCGAAAACCATGCAAACGACACCCATGACGATAAATTGTAAATTTCGTGGAACTGCCATCTTGGATTTACATTTCGACAGCACCATCGGTTTTACCAGCTTCGAAAACCATGAAAACGACACCCATGACGATAAATTGCAGTGAAGAAAAACAAAAATTTCGTGCAGACGCCATCTTGAATTTATTTTGATAGCACCATCGGTTTTATATTGACAAGTCTTTGAAGATATCTAAATATATATAATTCAAAGGTGATTGACTGACATAGTGATCTATCAACGCACAGCCCAAACCACTGGACGGATCGGGCTGAAATTTGACATGTAGGTAGATATTATGGCGTAGGCATCCGCTATCCTTAGGGGATAAAATAGTAGATGGAGTTTGTATAAATTCATCTTAGCTATTGAATCTAGAATAATTGAAATTTTTTGAGTTACATTTGGTAAAACGATCGTTTGAGACCTGGGAAACGATATATGACAGAAGTTTTTATCACAGAAGTCCCACGAGAACAGAAACTATGCGTTAAAGCCCCGGGACTCTCTATCTATCGACCACTGAACTTATTTTAGAGGGATTCGGTACAACAATAGTCGATAGAATAGATTTTATCACTAAAACCTTACGGAAACAGGCACTGTACTGGTAAGATCGCTGCGGGATTATTCGTTTTTTGAAACCACGTTAAATCATTTCACAGGCGCTGAATTGATTCTGATGAATTCTGTCAGAAGTCATTATTCTACGCGAGCAACAGCTAGTAATTCATAATAATTAGTCACTGTGATTAATTTTACTTCAATAATTACTTTGACCAAATTCAGTAGAAGTCATTATGAATGAATTATATCGAATTAATCACTTTGGCTTTAATAATACATCGTTCGTCGGCAGGGCACAAACTTCGTGCGCTGCATAAAGCCGAACTCTCGCATGGTGTCCCGCGAGCTGGAGGGCGGGCTGGTGCTGGCGCAGCTGCAGTGCGCCGGCACCACGGCCGTGCTGGAGCTCATGGAGCACGGGTACCCCAGCCGCGCGCCCTTCCACGACCTGCACCACATGTACCACTCATACCTGCCGCAAAAACTGCAGAAACTCTCACCCAAAGTCTTCTGCGAGGTGAGTGCTTAAAAACTATAATTCATTTCATCAAGTTTACACTAAAAATCGATTAATTATTTAGTTTTTTACTACTAAAATCAGCTTTGCTGTGCTGTAAGTGACTGAGAATCTTCGATATATATTTATTTACTACCAATACCAGTTAACTACACTTCTTTAATCTGATTATGCTGGTAAAAATACATAGCAACCACTAATTTAATCTAACACACTGCCATAAATGGATACCCCATAATTAGAATATAAAAAACTACACTTTCTACCTCCATTATTTTTTTTATCCTGCACGGACGACGAGCATGGGTAGCTCGCCGCCCGACGAAAACCAAAACCGAGCGTTCCGCACGCGTCACAAAGAGCTATAGACCACCACGGATGGGACCCAATAGGGCTGATGCCGGCACGGAGCCGCGGAAGACGTAAACGGTTACCGGCTCGCAGTGCAGAAGTAGGAAAGGTTCTAGTCAGTACGAGCCTGACACTCCCTCCCGCCTCACCTAGATGGGAGAAGTCATTCGATGATTTACCCCACTTAAAAAAAACCCTTTTATCCTTAATTCCTAATATTTTTTCAAATTTTAACTCATGGTAAAATACTTATTCAATAGTTCACAACAAAATAATACTTTATTCATTAAAATAAATGTTTTTAATGCGCTTTTGAACAATAACATAAAACTAATCATTTGCCTCCTATTCCCAGGCCATAGTCCACAGTATGGGTCTATCAGACAAGGACTACAAGTTCGGTGTGACGCGGGTGTTCTTCCGTCCGGGCAAATACTCGGAGTTCGATACCATGATGAAGTCAGACCCTGAAAACTTGAAGTCCATTGTGGAAGCCGTACTATCCTGGCTCGTCAAGTCCAGATGGAGGAAGTCCATATTTGCTGTGCTGTCTATTATTAAGTGTAAGTATTTTTTGGTGATATATTTATTGATGCTCCTTGATAAGTATTCTACAGAATATTCCACGAGAAAGTCATACGGCACCAGAACGCCCTGTCCTTTACAGGTTTTTTTTTTATATTATTGGGTCAACATTTGACCATTATCTCGCCTGGTGGTAAGCGATGATGCGGTCTACGATGGAGCACGTCGTCACATAAGTAACCTATACTATTACTGTATGAATGTAACTCAAAAAACCAATACTTATATTTAAATCTGGCTTGTGTTGATGAGATAAGCTAAGTAAGTTGATAAGTAAGCTATTTTTACCAAGTAACACACAAAATAATGAACTTTCTATATTTTTTTATTTATTTATCTTTTTAAAACGTTACCCTACACTAGGATTTTCTCACGTGCCGTAGGTGCGTTTACAAGCATACAATTTCACATACAACGTATTTTTGTATCATTTGATAATTTTACCATGAAAATCAAATAACAAAACCACACCATCCACAGTAAAGAACAAGATCGTATACCGAAGGGAATGCCTGATCCTTCTACAAAAGACTATCCGAGGCCACTTAGTACGTCGCAAGCACAGGCCGAGGTACCAGGGACTGGTCAAGATCAACGCTTTACATCACAACCTTAAAGATATGGAATCAGTCACTTCTCAGCTTAAGAAGGAGAAGGATAGTGCACAGAGAAACATCGAGAACTTGAGGAATTCTATCAGGAATGCTTGTGCTGCTATAAAGGTGAGAATTTTTAGAATTTCTTACGTATAGGAAATACTTATATAATATAACATAACATCACGCCCTTTATCCCCGAAGGAGTAGGCAGAAGTGCACACAGAAGTAACACCCACTTTTCACTATTTATGTTATGAGTCCCATGTAATAATAGGGGGTGAGCCTATTGCCATATACCGGGCACAATTCCAGACTCCGTCTCATCTCTCGTCTCCGTACTTTGCCCGACCCGGGACTCCAACCCGAGACCCCTTACCCAGCAGTCGCACTTGCGACCACTCGGCCAACGAGTCAGAAATATTTATATGAATTAGAATAATCCTATGATTGATCATTGTCAGAACCCAGACAGAGAATACTTACATCATATTCCATGCCGGTCAAACATGGGTTTAACATTGTATATTTGCATTTTGGACATCTTTATCCTATCTTTAGGGATTAACAAGTTAAACACTGTGTCGGACAATGACTTTTGTGTTGGCGGTCAACTGACGCTATGAATAATTTATTCTTTTTAAATATAAAACAACATACTAAGATCTGACTACCTCGTTGGCCGAGTGGTCACAAGTGCATTTTTTCAGAAAATCTCAGTAGTAGCACGGAGTCTGAACTTGTGCCCGGTAAATGGCAATAAGCGCACCCCCTATTACATGGGACTCGTAACATAAATAGTGAAAAGTCTGTGTTACATTGTATAGTGGCATTAAGTGACGTAATGTGCAGAGGTGTACTTTGTCTACCCCTTCGGGGATAAAAGGCTATAAAGGGGATAAATGTTATGTTATGTTATGATCTTGAAAAATGAATGATAAAAATTATTCGTATCACCCTATCAGTTAAATACTATTGTCACCAATTATTTGGTCAAGAAATTTGTTATGTATTTACAAAAATACTTTATTTTCAGTCCAACGAGAACATATCCCGTGCTGAGATCGACAACCTGTATTCTAAATTGACCAAAGATGTTGAGACACAGATGGCGTCCCTTCAAAAGGCTATGGTTGACCAGAAGAATAGGTAAATTATAATTCTTTTATAAACTACCTTTAAAAATACCGACTTCAGCTCTCTCTTTTTTAAATTTTGTTGATTAATATACCAAAATATTTCCCTAAGTGTAACAAACATTTTTCTAAAAACGGCATCAAAATCGGTTTAGCAAATCCTAAGATAATAGCGTAGGCTCACCCCCTATTACATGGGACTCATAACATAAATAATGAAAAGTGGGTGTTACCTACATTGTACAGTGCCATAATACACACCTCAGCCTACCCTTTCGGGGATAAAAGGTGTGATGTTATGTATACTCAATTTAAATCTATGTGACTATTCAATAAAATATATTTTGCTTTACTTACAGGGAAGAACAAGAGAGGTTGCGTAAGATGGAAGCGGAGATGCGCGCCGCTGAAGAGGCAAAGAAACGTGAACAGGAACGAATTAAACAGGAGGAGGAACATAGGAGGCTGTAAGTTTATTTCACAGTATATTAAGGAAATTTATTTTTATTTACTTCAAGACATTTATTCATTCGAGACGTCATTTTCCTAAGTTATTTGAATCTAAAATTACCAATTACCAGCGACTATCAGCTTTGTATTGCCTTCAAAGGGTTCTTGCCAGCGGCAATCGGACGAAATACACCACGATATTTATAAAAGCATGATTTTTATAAGAAACCATTACTAAGGTTCGTCTTATCTTAGCCATAAATAGCATAAGCATTCAACGTAGACGAAAACAAAAACATTGTCTAAAACATTAAATTTTTTGCTTAAATCGTCATTATTTCTACTAAATTCAAGTAAATAATGTTTAGAACTTCATTAAAAAATAAAATAAATCGCAAAAAGAGATTTGCGACCCTGCCAGGATTCGAACCTGGAATCTTCTGATCCGTAGTCAGACGCGTTATCCATTGCGCCACAGGGCCAGTTGAGAGTGATGGCAAAATAGATAACTCCTTTCGGAGTGTCTATTTTTGAGCTTTAATTTTATTGTGGATAGATTTTGCTAGTATGTTAGAATTTTTATGCAAAAATAGCTGTTGCCCGGAACTTTGTGTAGAATATGAATTTTAGAACATAATGTTACTTCTTAGTACAACAGCTACCTGCAATTAAAAGTCTTGCAAAATCGGTCCAGCCATTCATCCAAATCATTCAGAATTATCCAGAGATTAGCCAGTACAAACTGACAAAAATTGTAATAAGTTTGTAACATTTTAATATTACAAACAGACACTCCAATTTTATTTTTTTGTACCTAGAGATGTAATAAAAAATGTACAAGACATGTTGGTAATAGGATTTCAGCTTATATACCTTTTTTTATCAAATTCAACAATTTGATAAAAAAAATATAATACTTTTGTACTTTATTACACAAATACATATTAGAAAAACGTAATTTTCCACATCAACATATTTTTTTACCTATTATAATATAGGAAGAATGGGAAACGAGCGTTTATAAGCTACAAATCGTCACGCATGTTTCCCATTCGGGTAAGCAGACATAGCACGTAGGTAATTTAAACCTTATAAGTATTTAATTTGCTTGGAATGTTTATTTATGACCTTTAACCTATACAGTAAAGCGGAGATGGAGGCGCGTCGTAAGGCGGAGGAGGCGGAGCGACTTCGACTGGAGGAACAGGATCGCCTCGCTGCACTCAAACTGCAGAAACAAATGGAAGAGGCTGCTAAGGCCGACCAGGAGAATAGGGAGAGGTAACATTTACTAGCTTTAAAACTATAAAAACTTTATTCATAACATAACATAACACAACATCACGCCTTTTTATCCCTTAAGGGGTAGGCAGAGGTGCACATTACGGCACTTGATGCCACTGCACAATGTAACACCCAGTTTTCACTATTTATGTTATGAGTCCCATGTAATAGGGGGTGAGCCTATTGCCATATTAACTTTATTCATAATAACAAAAATGCAAAATACAAAAATATATCTTAAGTACGTACACTTGATCTCACATAGTTAGAAGCCTGCACTAGGACAATCCTGTATCGCAGGCGATTTTTTATTATTTTACTTTAGAAAATTGTGATTGATTTTCTGTGGATTGAGGATAAATATGTGAATTTAAATTAAGTAATCTCAAAGACATCATTTTGGCTCACAATTCGAAATTAGATATTGAATAGTTCTAGTAGAAGTTGTTAGTCATATCAAATTTTATTATACTACCAAAGCTGTATTTGTATAAAGCATTGCATAGCACTGGTTTGAATCGAGTTTAAGAATTCAATTTCTTCATAATTATGCTCTCAAAAAGGTAATTAACTGATGTATAAGAGTTCGTTATTGGAAAAGTAGACAAATTATAGAGTCGCGGAGAACCTAACGGGTAACCGAAGCTCCGGCTCGACGTGCAGAAGGAACGGGGTGGTTTTTAGTCAGTAAGAGTCTGACACTCCCTCCCGCCTCACCCAAGCGGGAGCAGTCATTCGATGATTTTCCTCCCTTAAAAAAAGAGTAATTATAGAAATAAAATCTAAGTACATGAAGAAGTTTATGCAATATTTTTGTATGTAATGATTAGGTTAGAACAAGAGAGACGGGACCACGAAATGGCAGTGAGACTGGCTAAAGAGACCAATGGACATGTGGAAGGTTCGCCACCTCAATTGCGCAGGTATGAAAACTTTTATAAAAACATTATTATTATTTACTAAGGTCACCTTGTTTATGATTCATTGTAGATCTATCTATATCTATTTCGTACTAGCCGAAAGGCTACGCTAGCCGAAACGCTAGCTTAAAAAAAATTGTCTCCTTTTAAATCTTCTCTGGACTTCTATGAACATTTCAAGACTATAATTAACCATATAGGTTCAGCTGTTCTCGAGTTTTAGTGAGACTAACGAACGGAAATATATTTTTACTAGCGGACCCGACAGACGTTGCCCTGCATATCCACTTGAATGTATAAACAAAAATTCATTCAAATCAGTTCAGCCGTTTAGGATAACTAACCTATACAGCGACTGCAGCGCCATCTGCCGGGCTGGTTTGTGAATCTAAACCATTCCCAGATCCCCTTGAACACACACAAACATTTCATCAAAATCGGTCCAGTCGTTTGAGAGAAGTTCAGTGACATACACACTCACAGAAGAATTATATATATAAAGATTTATAGAAGATACATATAGATAGTATTGATCTACAATGAATTAAACTTGAATACCTATAATCAAAAGTTATATGAAATGTTAATATCTTTTTACATGACATGTATAAGAAGAAATTGAAGAGAACAAATACTTACCTTCATGTTTTTATTAGCAACGAAAGCCCAATCCTAATATGAACTTAATTTCAAGATCAATAAGAACGATTTACCTAAACACATTTTGTCTGTCATCAATGTTTATATCACCTTTCGCTGCTAATACCATGACTACTATATCTTATTTTCCTTAGGTTTCCAATATATACAGAAAGTTAAGTTTAGCTATAAAAATACCTATCACTGTACAATATGACAGAGACAGCACATTGGTCTGCGAAGTGTCTTCCTGTATATAGCTTCACAAACTACGATTTATGATAATTTATTTGTCAAATGTGTTATACGTTTTTGTAGTATTACTTTGTACTATGTAAATATTACTTTGTGCCTTTATTGGTCATAAATAGTAGGTATGAATAATTCAATTTATAAATAGTATGAATATTTCAGTTTGTAAATGCTGTAAACTGTTCCTTGATTGTAGACCTTCTAAATAGATAGACTTTGTCTACTATAATAATGAGCATAAATCATGCTTATCAGGTTCACTTTTGATTATTAAGTTCTTTAATTAACTCGTCGAGTACCGGTTTTATAGACACAATTAAAGAACAATAGGTCGCGGTCACCGGTGACCGCTTGGTGTTTGACAGTTTAAAGTGAAATTAAATGTTTCTCAAAAAAAGTTCTGTTGAAGTGTTGACTAACGTTCGAATATTGAAAGGTTACTCAATTTTAAGCTGTACTTAAATATCGTGACATTTCTGTGATTTTACAAAGAATTTGTAGTGACAGAACTATACTATAGCGCGACTTCAAATTGAGTGACTTTGAGTATTAGTTAACATGTTAGTTGAACTTCTCAGAAAGGTTCAAACTATCAGGAAAAAGTTATCTAAGCGTGTCAATGCCCTTGCTTCTAAGCTGTCGGGATCTGGAATTATCCAATTTGCAAGACTGAAGAGGAGCAGTGTACCTAACCTCATAGATCGATTCACCAGTTTAAAGAGAAATCCATTGGATACTCTCTTCTCTTCTTCAATACAATATACCACACTTAGACAATGAGTCAGTCGCGGAGAACCTAACGGGTTAATACCAGGACTCCGGCTCGACTTGCAGGAGAAGCAACGGGGTGGTTTTTAGTCAGTAAGAGTCTGACACTCCCTGCCGCCTCACCCAGGCGGGAGCAGTCATTCGATGATTTTACCCCTTAAAAAAAAGACAATGAGTCAGCCAAGAAAGCGGCTAAATGTTTTATAAACAGATTGCTTTGTTGTAGGATAGAAAAAAAGCAAATTACTTGATGGCAATGTATAAGACGTGTTTTGCCATCACACTTGCCATTGCGGGAATGATTTAGGGTTTTTATCAACAAACCAACAAGGCATTAGCATTTTACATTAAAAAAATCCCAATATAAATACTACAGGAACGTCTAACACATGTTAAGAGATCCGGCCGACTAGTTCCAACGTTGATAGCGTATAAGTAATATTGTGATATGTTCGCACAGTTTCCCTACCATGGAGTCAATCAATGGAGAGAATAAATTGAACAGGTACTGACTGAGACAGACTAACCTCTCTTTCGCACGCTCCGAATTTGGCCCTCTTTCAATTGTAATATAGGTCTTATTTAAATGGTTACAGAGTCCTTGTTTGTGTGACGATAGTCTTAAAAGCTACAGTTGAACAATATATAAGTCTCTATAGAAAGGATTTTGTAAATATACATATAATATTTTCGTTTCGTTCTTTTGTTATAGATTATACACTACAGAGTCTTTGTTCTACAAAAAAAATAATTAAAGAAATTGTAATGTGAAGATGTGACCGTCTTAACGTCATTGTGCAAAATAATCGTTTCAATATTCATACCAAAGAAATAGACCATGGATTCACACGTAGGAATTATAATTTCATACTTATTACTCCCAATATGCGGATGAAGTCATTGGCAGTTAATCCAAAAATGCACTTTATTGCGTTTACTCAAAATTCAAAATTATAAATTTCGATTGAAAGAGGACCATTTCTGAAGATAATGTACTAATTACTAACATAAGGCTACCTATGCTTCATCTGAACTTTTCGCACGATTTAGTGTTTCGTATCTAACTGTATCTTAGTAAAATGTTGTATTAATTCTATTATAATATCTAGTATTATCTTGTGTATTCAGTTTTTTAAACACCCTGTTTCATAAACGGATTTTTATTGCATGTTGTTGAAAAGTTATCATTAACGTTTATGGAATAAGGCTTGAATTCTAATGTAGACTTAACATTATTTAGTTGGCTCTTTTATCATCATGCATGGGATATTTTAAGTATTATTTTTTTAATATTTCTTTTAATATTGGTTCTAAAAAATTTCTTCGGGTGTTACGGTGATTTTAAAAGTGCCAAATTCTTGCATGCAATATGTATATAAAATAGTTCTAGAAAACACTATAATATTTAACACAGAGCATGCTTTAAGACTCCGATCTGTAATTGTATACCAAATTATATCATGTCTTACTACCATTGATATAAAGAGTAATTTACGATGATTCGAAGATACCTGGTGCGTACAATTACAGATCGAACTGGTAAACAGTAGATGTAGCATGTAGTTTAACAATATAACACGAATATTTATTACATTTTGGTATCCATTGACGTTTTTCTATGCAAACGACAGGTCGGAACGCGTAAGAATGCAGCAAGCTATGCAGGGCAAGCAAAAATACGATTTATCTAAATGGAAGTATTCGGAACTACGTGATACTATTAACACGTCATGTGATATTGAACTTTTGGAGGTAAGTACTTGAAATATGTTAAGTCTTTTCGTAAATGTTTTTTTTTGGCATTTATTATATTTTCAAAACATAAAATTGTGCTGTTTTTTACTAATTTAGGTATCTAATAAATTAGTATTCATAGTTATATTAGAAGAAGAAAATAAAAGATACATTGGTTAAGAAAGTATTGGCTTGGTAAAGTTGTTCATGAGCCTTCCTTTTTATTTTTTGCCCCCTTGTTACGAATTTTGCTCATCACGGGTGTAAATTGTATAACAGCTTCATATATATAAATTGTAAGATGTGTGTTCGAATGTTAGGCTTGCCGCCACGAGTTCCATCGCCGCCTGAAGGTATACCACGCATGGAAGGCAAAGAACGCACGCAAGACTACCATGGCCGACCAGGAGAGGGCGCCACAGTCGATTATGGATGCTGGTAATATAATTTAGACTTCTTTGGAAACACTAACTGTAATTCTTTTATGTAGGCTTTTTTTGACTAAAACTGCTATTAAATCTATGAATGAAATTAAAACTGTTGTGATGTTTACTATCAACCCATTCTAAAGAGGACTCACCTCAACTTAACTTTAGCTGTTGAACATTGGAGTATAACATTGTTTTGTACAGAGATTATTCAAGCTTTTGTTCCCTATTTCTACACTAATTTCAACTTTACCAAATAATTCCTCAGCAAAAACCCCTCGAGTACCCCAAAAGGGTGAGATCCTAGGCGCCCGCCACCGTTACTTCCGCATCCCGTTCGTCCGCGCGGGCGGGCCGGGCGGGCCGGGCGCGCCCGCCGCCGACAGCGAGCGCCGCGGCTGGTGGTACGCGCACTTCGACGGACAGTACGTCGCCAGGCAGATGGAACTACATCCCGACAAGACGCCCGTGCTGCTGCAGGCTGGTTAGTGACTTATTGGCTGCCGTCATATCAGATGTAATAGGGAAATAAATACATGAGTTGTGTCTCACTTAGATCTATGTGCCAACAAACCATGAGGCAATAGGGAATAGCAGTTCTACGTAGTATGTACATACCCAATGTTTTATGAGGCAAAGTAGACTAATGATCAGGCGGATCACTTGTGCCTTTAGCCACACGCCGCTTTAGCGCTTGTCTACAGAGAGAGTAGAAATCAAAATGTATAGGGATCCATGACAAAATTTACGTCCATTCTATATAATTTAGTTTTCTACTCTACAAGTAGACAATCGCTAAATGGCATTTGGCTACAGCTGCTGATCAGCAGCGACCGTAGACACTTGCGTTGCAATTTTCATAGATGTATCTACTTTAGATCACGGGTTTCTGGAGTTGCACCGGTTTTGAAAAGTTATTGGCTCTTTGGGGGTGAGGGAGCGACTATTCACTTCACCCAGGATATCATAACGCGAACGTTGTGTTCTCCAAGCTTTTCTGTGAGGCGTAGAATCACCCCAGTGCGACAGACCTATTCGTGTCGAAACTTGAATTTTCTAATGCATTAACATTTTTTTCTGTTACCAGGAGTGGACGACATGCAGATGTGTGAGTTGAGCCTGGAGGAGACAGGTCTGACTCGCAAGCGTGGCGCTGAGATACTCGAACACGAGTTCGAGCGAGAATGGGCGCGACATGGCGGGCCTCAGTACACGCCGCATGATCAGCGCAAGCGTTAGGTAATGCACCTTGCTTACTACTGGGAGAAGCTTACTAGAACCTGAGTATATCTTAAAACTGCGACCAGCCACTTATATACCGTCATTATCGCTACAACAATGTCATTTAATATTGACCTCCTTTTTATGGAATAAGCCGGTAAACGAGCAGACGGATCACCTGATGGTAAGCAATCAGCGTCGCTAATGGGCAGCTGGAATACCAGAGGCGTTACAAAGCTTTACCGGCCTTTTGAGGATTAGGAATTTGAGGATTGTTGTGAATACAGGGATTGATGAGATTGTCACCTCACTTACACGACGAAACACAACGCCAGCGTTGTTTCACTATGGTCTTCTGGTCGTTGGTGGTATCACTCCGGTCGAGCCGGGCCAGCAGTACCGAAGCATAGGTTCTCCCACACTTAAACTCTAACGGTTGACCAGGTCAACTGTTTGTTCAACAGTAGATTTCTATACTCGACTTATTGTTATCTTCTGTTTCAGATATCACATTCCACCAAGGACCTAGTGAAATTTAGAAACGACGTCGCAAAATCGCAAAGTATTCCACACAACTAGGAATTTGAAATTTATTATAACACATATAAGATAGATTATTGAATAGAGGAATTACTTAGTTCTTTCAACGTGCCTTTCCAGGTTCCTAGACTTATGATAGTGCAATATAATTGAAGGTCATTAAGGTTATATTAATATGGTTCCGTAGCAGCAAAGTCGGATACACAACAAATTTTTATAATATACAAATCTTTCAAATGAATTTCCTATTTATTGTGATAAAATATGTTCAAAAGTGTGATAAATATAAACTGTATCGCCGTGCCTTAAAATGTTGCGTATCAATAGTTCAAATCTGACTTTGCTACATTATCATTTCATTGTAAAACTATGCAGTTTATAATAATTGGATAGCTTGTGTGATTGCATTGAGCTTTTCAATGGTTTGTCAATAATAGGGTAGTTTCCTAAATTTCATTTTAATGTCCGTCTGGTAGATTAATTTGAAACATTAGACACGTGTTTTAACTTTTCTCACTAAATGTAATACTTTCGACGATATATTAATTTGAAACATCATGTGACGTTGTGATTTACACACGTCCCACTCCTAAACTTAACGCCATTTTATCTAAGTATTGTATCATATACAAAAAAGTAAAAAAAAATACGTATCTAATATTTTTTCATTATCTAACTGACTGACTAATTACATTTTTAATTATCATACCCTAGCAACTACCCCATTTCATGGGTGTGAAGCGTTTATCTTAGATTTTGAAGAAACTGCATGGCAACTATCAGGTTTAAAGTAGAAATTAATATATTTTAACATAGCTGTGCTAATTAAAGTCACGAAAATTTTATCTTGGATTTATGAATGTCGACTTGTCATTCCAAAAATCTATTCCCGTAACTTCGACACTATCCGTTACTATTTTCATTTGTGTATTATTAGGATACAAAGAAATTAGAAATCGTGAATTATGTGAATAAGAAAAAGTGACATAATATATTTTTGATTTAATATAAACGAAAATAATTTCTCTAATTATTCCGTAGCATATAATGTGTTTGTTAATTCAGTAAACTTATTTTAATGGAATTCACATCGAAATCAGTTAACAACTAATTTAAAAATGAAATAATAAAAATATTTATATATACTTATTTCTTGTAAGCTGTGATTCGTAATTCAGTGGTAATAAAAATGAATTAGGTCAGTATTTTAAAATGGAGAAAGTATATTTATTTGAACATTCCTGTCCTAAGACTGTTGAATGGTAGCTTTTGTATTATTTTAATAGCATTATAATAATTTTATTAACAATAAGTGTTTTGAACAGTATTTAAGCAAACATTCCTGTATTTTTACTTCAGTTGCAGTAAATGTTCAGGTTATTTTTATGTACAAGTTTTTTAAAGTACAAGGTTTTAAAGCAGATTGTGCAAGTGCCTTAGTGTGTTATTCTGTTAATACATGACCACTCCATTATTGTATATGCTTTACCAAATAAAAACATGATGAGAGTATTCCTATCTTTTTATTTATTTAACCCACAATTTATGTAATAAGGATATTCTCGTCTCAACCTACCTCGTTTGCCGAGTGGTCGTAAGTACGATTGCCGGGCAAGGGGTCTCGGGTTTGATTTCCGGGTCGGGCAAAGGCATACTGGATTTAAAAAGAATCTCAATAGTAGCACGGAGTCTGGAATTGTGCCCGGTATATGGCAATAGGCTCACCCCCTATTACATGGGACTCGTAACATAAATAGTGAAAAGTGGGTGTTACATTGTACAGTGGCATGTAACACCCCTTCGAGGATAAAAGGCGTGATGTTAGTGAAAAACGGATATTACGTTTTAAATGTTCACCTACCTTACAGGATATTAAGCTCTTGTATGTCGGTATTTAAGACACAATAGAAAACGCACTGTGTCTTGCGTAGATACGCAAGACGCTACGCTCCGACATACCCGAGATTAAAGAGGTGTAGCGCTATATTATGCAAATACTTTTTTTTTTTTTTTTTTTTTTGGTTGAGTTCTGCTACATGGCAATCTGTTTTTCAACAATAAGCCACTTCTTTGTCTGATTTCTCAGTTTATGTTTTCTTCAAGAGCCATATTTGTGTGAAAGTTTCTTTCACACGACTCTCTTGTCGTCAAGTGGTAAATCTTTTATGTAGGCTCGGTATGTCACTTCTTTTTAGCCTGGTATGCCGAAGGGTGTCTTCACTCAGAGCGTGTACCAATGTGTTTACATGGGCTGCCAGTTTGTCCTGATATTTCAAACTCTTTTGAGCTATTTCCTGCCGAACTGTTTTTAGGCCGAGGTCGAGGTATATGTATTTGTTACTTATGCAATGAGGGATGCCAAACATTGTTCTCAAGGCTTTGGTTTGGAATCTCTCTAGGATATCTATGTTGCTGTTGCTGGCCGTTCCCCACAGTTGTATGCCGTAAGTCCATATTGGTTTTAAGGTGGTTTTGTATACTAACATCTTGCTGTTACAATTTAGTTGCGATTGGGATCCCAACAGCCAGTTCAGTGACCGCAGTTTTCCATCTAATTGTTTGCGCTTTGACCAAATATGTTTCTGCCATGTAAGTCTCCTATCTAGGTGCATGCCTAAGTATTTTGCGCTATTATCTTGAGGGATCACTTTGCAGTTGAGCGTTACCGGTGGACATGTTTCTCTCCTGAGTGTAAAAGTCACATGTACCGATTTGCTCTCATTGGCTTTTATTCTCCAACGCTTCAGCCATACCTCAACTTCCGTCAGATGATTTTGCAACTGTGATGATGCCGTTTCTGGGTTGCTATGAGCCGACAGTAGTGCCGTATCATCAGCATATGTCGCAGTTGTAGTGTAGTCAGTTGTTGGGATATCTGCTGTAAAGATGAGATATAGTACAGGGCCCAAGATACTGCCCTGAGGAACACCTGACTTTATTTCGTGTAGCTCTGAAAGATCATCGCTGCACTTCACTTGGTAGCATCTTTTATCTAAGTAGGATCCTAGTATTCTGAATAGACAATGCGGCAGTTGCTTCTTTACCTTGAACAGGAGGCCGTCATGCCATACCTTATCAAATGCTTGGCTAATATCCAGAAACACAGCAGAGCAGTATAATTTGTTTTCAAGGCACCTGCTAATGATGTCAGTTATACGGTGTATTTGTTCAATTGTCCCGTGTTTTTCCCGGAATCCAAATTGGTGGTTCGGTAATACTCTACTTAGATGTTCTTTCATCCTGTTAAGCAATATCCTCTCAAACAGTTTGCCGATAACTGGTAGCAGGCTGATAGGTCTGTAGGAAGTAACTTCCTGTGGGGGTTTACCAGGTTTCAGTATCATGACTACATGAGCAATTTTCCATTGCCCAGGGAAATGTTCTAGTCTTAAGCTGGCATTGAAGATGTTAACCAATTTCATTACCCCTTTATGAGGCAGATTTTTAAGTAATGTGGCATCAATAAAGTCATATCCGGGTGTTTTACCTTCCTTGAGTTGCCTTATTTCTTTCACAATTTCCTTTGGGCAGGTACTTTTTAGTGGAAGACACATTTGATTCACAGATTCGAGGTATTTCTTGATCTCCAGAGTTTGTTCGGGATTGTTTTCAGGGAGTGGTTGGAAAACTGTTTTCAGATGGTTCGCAAAGATACATGCCTTTTCTTTGTCTGATCTAGCCCACCCTCCTTTTTCATCACTGATAGGTGATTTGTGGATTTTCGGGCGCTTTAGACTCTTGGTAGCTTTCCATAGTGAATAGTTTGTGTCTTTCGTTGGATCTAGATTTGAAAGATAGTGTTGAATGTTATTATTTTCTAGGGTACTGATAAGGGCTTTGAGTTCATTTGAGAAACTATTGAATGCAGCTTTATCACTTGGGTATCCCGTAGTATGCCAGACTTTTCTCAAACGACGGCGCTCCTTTATTTTCTCTTTGATATCCTTTGGATAAGAGTTATGTTTCAGAGGTTGTCCTTTACCTGTCCTTTTTGGAGTCGCGGAATTGGCTGCAATGTGGATGGTCATATTAAGTTGTTCCACTTGTCTTTCAAGTTCTTCTATTGTATTAATTTGGTCTTTAGTTCAGTCTTTGTTGTGATAACACTTTTATAGATTGTCCAATCCGTTGTGTTCAAATTGTATATTCTTGGAGGCGGTGCTACCAGATTAACTGTTGTGGTAACATTTAGTATAACTGGTGTATGGTCAGACGTAAGGTCTATTCGTGGTTCTATGTTTAAGTAATTACTATCTATGTTTTTTACAATAAAGAAGTCCAATAAATCTGGGATTCTTTGCCTGTCGGTAGGCCAGTAGGTAGGTTCTCTACCGGAGTGACATTCCAACTTCATCTCTTCTGTGGCTTTATACAGTTGTCTTCCTCTAGTATTGGTTAGCCTAGATCCCCAATTTAAATGTTTAGAGTTCCAGTCCCCTGCACATATGAATCTATTACCCAGTGTAGAAAAATATTCCGCGAACTCGCTGGCTGCTATAGAATGTTTTGGGGGGCAATACACAGCGGAGAATACCGTTTCTGGTTTGCCATTTACCAGTTTAATAGATGTTTTGTATTTTTTTGTTCGGTATTCCTCTATAGGGTAGTGTTTTATGTTGCTTTTAATAATTACTGCTGTTCCACCATGACTGTTGCCAGTTGGGTGATTGGTTGTATACACTGTGTAGTTATTAAAGTTTATGTGTGTTTTCGGTGTAAATCTAAATATGCAATATAATAATGCAAATACTAAAAACTGTAAGCGATGATAAAACGATGGCAGTTGATATTTCATTATCTTCTTAAATCATTATTCATTACAACGATTGGTAAACAAGTATTAAAAGAAAAATTGTAGATATCCATTAACTATTGCTAATTGCATTGGACGTTAAATTAATGCTTTATAATAATTAACTGCACGGTCGATGCGACGGCAGGGAAACTGTTGGCGATGTGTCGCGGGTTCGATTCCCGCACGGAACAACTCTGTGTGATCCACAGATTGTTGTTCCGGGACTGTGTGTGGTGTTTATGTGAACTTGTAAATTTGTTAACGCACCCACGACACTAGAATCCTTGTGTGGAGAAGTTTCGTTTAAAAAATATATATTAAAATTAAGACAAAATTAGGCCTACATTTTCATACAAAAAACTTCTTCCTACATTTACGCCATCTGGTGGGCAATAAAACGTTAGCCCCCATTGCCTCAATTATCCATGTCAAATGGTTAAGAGGTTAAAATATAATGGCTTATCAGAACTGGCCAAGTGCTTATGATCATAGGGCAGTCAATATCCTTTACCCAGTACATGGACATTCTATTTCCTTTTTTTAATATTTTCATCCAGTGGAAGCAACCACGACGGCAGAACTGCATGCACTATATCTCGACGACAAAACTGCATGCACTAAAACCAAGGATGTTGAATTTAAATGTCCTTGACCCGGACATGCACCACATTATAGTACTTGTGTGACTTGTCTATTTAAAAAGTAATATTACCAAGCCAAGAAAAGAAATTAAAAAAATAAGTTGCGATGTAAAAACCAAAAGTCAAAGAGCAAACCATCTGTCAAGTGTCAATGTCTACTGTCAAGCTAAATTATTGTGAAAGTTGTTTGTGGCTATTCTTAGATCGCTTTTTCAAACTCTCGATTTTTTGCTAATAATCTCCGAATTACATGTGCTAAAAATAAGATAATGCACAGATGTGGTTCAGTGACCAAGCGGTGTGATAATGAGAGGTTAATTTTATGAGTTTGTAATGTAAAAATCAAGACAAACATGGGCGGCCACGGACGCTACTTGTTGTTATTGTTGTTTATCACGGTGTTAATTAAATTTTCGTACCCATTGCCGTATGATGGTAAGTAAAACCTCTTTTGGTATGATATTTTAGATATAAATTATTTTGTAATAGTCTCTATAATTTAGGATCATTGCTAAACGTTGTGTAATACAATAACGAGAAAACGATGGCTTGCTCTATTGTTAAATTAAACTTCCGAGTGCTGCATTGGATGAGTTTTGAATCTTTCGAAGATTGTTATCTAACCTACATAACAAGATAGTTGGTCGACCTCTTACAATCATTACAAATGAGGTTAACATGCATGCTTGATTTATTTACCTAATCAATGCAATAATATTATAATATGGAAAGAAACTAACATAGGAGAAGCTTTAAAAGAATAAGAAGATGCTAGAATATCATCTCTATGAAAATAGGGTTGAAATATCATTATTCATTAAAGATATTACATAGTACTTAGTTTAACTTACAAAGTTTTGAAGAAAAACTTCTTGCATCTGCTATTTTTTTTGCAGTCCACTGGCTAGGGGGCCCCACAACAATAGAGAGAGATGTGCCATCCCCTAAGAAACAAACTGTAGACATTTATTGCTATAGGGGCACTTCTAAAAACGTGTTTGCTATATGGCAAACTGTAAAGGTAAGTTAAAAATATGATATAAATATTATAGTTACTTAGATATTTTCTCCTAATAATAACTTAGTAAAACGATTAAATAGATTGTTAATGAAAACGCACAGTAATTAAATATTATTGCAATAAAATTCATAGAATAGTCTTTATCTGCCCTTAATTTAATTACACATATGATGTAGCAACTTCAAGGTAGGTACTTTATATGTTTACAGCAATAAGAACTGAATAAATGTAACCTCAAAATAATTTGAAATTCAGTTAACAGGTACTAGCAATATCATTTCTTTGACCACTAAGTACAAATGTTTTAAAAAACAATTACCTTTTTTTTAATTTCTTTTTGGTGGTTCAAACAAAAGAAAGGATCCCCTACAGGCCTTATGTTACCGGCCTTTTGGGATTACGAATTGTGTTTGGTGTTTCGGAGCTCCATAGGCAGCGCTGATTGCTTACCAACACGTGATCCATCTGCTCTAACACATGCAATCTTATTATTATTTCAGTTCAACATAAAAATAAAGACCAATGAGTTCAGTCAGTACATCGGTGAGTCACCAGTGGATGTGTACAAGGAGTACTCGGAGGACAGCTATGGCTGGTCCTCTGTTGTCAATCCGTTCCAGAAGAAACCACAGAAGTCCGTATCTATCAACCTCTTTACTCCCACGTGTATGGCTATCAACACGAGAGAGAGGCACACCATTGAACTACAAGTTTTGAGTAAGTACGGTTTAATATTTTTTTCTCACTGTCTATTATAATCATCTTAAGTCACTGAAGATTTGTTTACTACTATTGATTTGTTACTCAAACAAAATATATAGGTCTAGTGGCTTGAATTTCAAGAAGATATTATTGGTGATATAGGTTGCTTATGGGACGACGTACTCCATCGTAGACCGCATCATCGCTTACCACCAGGCGAGATATTGGTCAAACGTCGGCCCATCAAATATAAATTTTTATGCCCCTATTTTTACATATATAGTAATATATACTTACTTGATTTTGAGTTATTGGTAGTTAGTAGAAATTTAAGGGATTCATAAAGATTAAAACATTTAAGATATACCATAGGCCTTTAAATAAAAAGTATTTATTAAATTGTCTATTTTCTTTTCCAGGAGTAGACCTATGGCGTATAATGTTGATGGCTGCGGGTTTGGTGCTGATATTCTCGTCGCGAGCTCTTTGCGGGAACCCCGTGTTCTTCTACCTGTGTGGGATCTTTGTTGGAGTATTCGCTTCGTTTATGGTGCTTGTGTATTATATCAGCAAGTTGCTGCCTAGGGTGAGGAAAAACAAACTTTAAACTCTATTTAAAGAAGGTTCTAAGTTGAGTTATGGGATCGATTTTTAACTGATCAATCCCCAAGCAGTTACCGGTGACTACCCTCCCCTCTATTATAGACTTTATTTCCGATGTTTAGAGACTACTTTTGCATGAACAAAGTTTGGAGATTTATATCAGGTGGTTGTGTACGAGTTAATTTAGTAGAAGCATCATTTGCGGCAATAAGGTCGCCCGTGTTAAGAAAATAATGTATCTGTTAAAGGCGGTGTTCTTCACACTTTTTAAAAGGGCATAGCCTTTGTAAGAAAACTGACATCATAGTTATTTCATTTCAAAACTATACTATTTTTTATGGCATAAGCCGGTAAACGAGCAGACGGATCACCTGATGGTAAGCATTCGGCGTCGCCCATAGGCGTTACATTGCGTTACCGGCTTTTTAGGGATTAAGAGTTTGAGGATCGTTGGAGATTCAGGGATTGGGGAAGGGGAGGCCCTCCGGTAACCTCACTCATACGACGAAACACAACGCAAGCGTTGCTTCACGTCGGTTTTCTGTGACGCTTCCAAAATGCACTAACAAACCTTTAATATTTTTCAGAAAACATTAACATATGGCATTCTAATCGGCGGTTGGACAGTAGGAGTGTACCTATTCCAACAAGTATGGGAGAACATTCGCACGCTAGTACTGACGTACCAAACTTATATGTTCTGGTACACCATGATCATAAGCTTCGTCAGTTTCGTAGTCTGCTACAGAATAGGACCGCCGAGGAATCAAAGGAGCAAGAATTTGGTCATGTGGACTTTACAGGTGAGTGATAATTTAATAATAGTGTATATCCTAATTTTTATTTTAATGTCCGTCTGGTAGATTGTTTTAAATTATTAGACATGTTATTTATTCTTTTCTTACAAAATTAAATACTTTCGACGATATATTGATTTGAAATATCGTGTGACAAAGTCAAAGCATTTATTTTAATTAAATCACAATGTGGTACTTTTGAAACAAATACAAAATAAATAATAGTCTGTCAGTCAGTCCGTCAGTGAAGCTCGGTGCTCATTCCAAAATGTAGATTCGAATGGAGAACAACGAACGAACGAGCGTCCTTATGAGCACCCGGTGGATCATAAGATAAAATGCTCCATGCTGCTTTCTCTTTTATAAAATCTATTATTAATGTTTTGTATTTTTTATTTCTATTGTAATGATCCTTGTTTTCGCGTGCCAATGGCCAAATAAATGCATTTTCTTTCTTGTCCCCTTGTCCCAAATGTCACGTGTGCACCCGTTGGATTATAAGGAACGTGGACGCTCGACGGGTTAAAAACCGACTAAGGGACTCTCGTTTAACAGAGACTGATCAACAACTGTGCTCGTCTTGTTAAACCTGATTTTTTAAATTGCAATGTCCACCGCCTTCCAATCCTGGAAAATATGGCAAACTCTTATATTGACGAGGCCCATGCTCATCATCAATGAACTAGGTGCTGACTCTTGAAACCCATCTCAATGTCAATGCAATTTCAATCCAATAAAATAACATAACATCACGCCTTTTATCCCCGAAAGGGTAGGCAGAGGTGCACATAATACCACTGTGCAATGTAACACCCACTTTCACTATGAATCCCATGTAATAGGGGGTAATCCAATAAAATCTCAATAATTATTCAATGTCAAAACTATACAACCCCTATCGTAGTTATTAAAATACGGTACGGCATATAAATCCAAACTCAATACCATTTAGTTCATCAAATATCCAAGCAATACGGATGCAATGGGCGCTAGTATTGCAACTCAAGAGTACGAAATTTTACAATACCAATGTCGATCGATCGGAATTGGAATCAAGAGTAAGCCCCCTGTTGTTGATTGCTTGCCTAGTTTCTAATAAGATAGTCCCTTCAGAGGATAGTTCCACTGAATAAAAGGTTACCTAAACAAATAACATAACGCCTTTTATCCCCGAAGGGGTAGGCAGAGGTGCACATTATACCACTGTATAAAATAACACCCACTTTTCACTATTTATGTTATGAGTCCCATGTAATAGGTGGTGAGCCTATTGCCATATAACGGGCACAATTCCAGACTCCGTGCTACTACTGAAAATATAAAAAAACCAGTAATACTTTGCCCGACCCGGGAATCGAACCGAGACCCGTTGCCCGGCAGTCGCACTTACGACCACTCGGCCAACGAGGCAGGCAGCAACAAACAAATAACACTACTAAAATAAATGATATAATTTCAGTGTGTAGGAGTGCTGATGATATTCTTCAGCTCTGAGTACCAAGAAGCTTCAGCTGCCGTCATCATCGCGTCACTTGTCGCCAAGTACTTCCCACAGTCACTGATCAACAGGATATCTGGATACTGGTGAGATATTCACGAATAAGTATATTACGGCAAAACGTAGGGATTACAATCATAACATCACGCCTTTTTTTCCCGAATGGGTAGGTAGAGGTGCACATTACGGCTTTTAATGCCACTTTACAATGTAATACCCACTTTTAATTATTTATTTTATGAGTCCCATGTAATAGGGGGTGATTCTATTGCCATATACCGGGCTCAATTCCAGACTTCGTGCTACTACTGAGATTTTGAAATCCCTATTACTGTGTCCGTCCCGGGAATCGAGCCCTTGCACGGCAGACGCACTTACAACCACTCGGCTAACGAGGCAGTCGCATTATCCAAAGAGATTTAGATAAAGTTAATAGCCTTTGTCATAAGAAGTATGTCGCTTATTAAAGCATATTAGTTTAACAGGAATCTCTTAGTTATATTTATGCTCTAAAATATCGTCTATTCATTTGACAGGCGTCGCAAGTTCCCGCCAAAACAGAAGTTGCTATCCAGTGAAGAGTACTATGAACAAGGTGCGCGCGAAACCAAGATGGCGCTGGAAAACCTCAGGAAGTATTGTTCAAGTCCCGACTGTGCGCAGTGGAAGATTATGCTCAAGTTGAACGATTCTAAGAGGTCAGTGAGAATTTAGGATCAAAATTGTTGTTAAAGTTTTGTTTTCTGAGTTTAGTATTTAATACGTCTTCTATAATTCTTTCGTTGAATACAAACGTGACTGCACGGTTGGTGCGGTGGCTGGGCAACCGGCTGCCGTGCAACGTGTCGCGGGTTCGATTCCCGCACGGAACAACACTTTGTGTGATCCACAAATTGTTGTTTCGGGTCTGGGTGTCATTGTGTATGTGAACTTGTATGTTTGTAAACGCACCCACGACACAGGAGAAAATCCTAATGTGGGGCAACGTTTTTTTAAAAAAAAAATATATATATAATAATAATAAATAAAGTCTGTTTGTTGTTGAACTCATATTAGTCAATGTGTCATTAGAACTTTTTATCAACTTTGGAATGCATAACCATGTGCAAAAAAATTTAAAAATAGAATTATTAATTTTTTTTTATAAAAATCAGTGATTTGTCTCTTTTCTCTAATTTCGTCGATGAGTTTTCAGGAAGGTAATGTTTAACGTGCCAGGTAGACATAGGAAATGATCGCTTACTACCACGTGAAACCAATTTTAAATTCTACTAGCTTTGCCCGCGACTTCGTACGCACAATCCCGTTTGTCCCATTCCCGTAGGATTTTCAGGACTTTTTTCTGTCATAAGAACCTTCTCCTGACGATAACAAACACAACAAAAAAGAAAAAATCAGCCAAATCGGTCTAGCCGTTCTCAAGTTATGGGGTGACAACGGGAAACGGGTTTCATTTTTATATATATAGTCTAGCAATCCGCCCCGGCTTCGCACGGGTACAAAATGCATGTATTATACAAATAAACCTTCCTTAAGAATCACTCTATCTAATAAAAAAACCGCATCAAAATCCATTGCATAGTTTTAAAGCTCTAAGCATACATAGGGACAGGCAGACGGTGGAAAGCGATTTTTTTATACTATGTAGAGATAGTTTTTTTTTTTAAGGGGGAAAGTCATCGAATGTCTGCTCCCGCCTGGGTGAGGCGGGAGGAAGTGTCAGACTCTTAATGACTAAAAACCACCCCGTTCCTTCTCCTGCACGTCGAGCCGGAGCCCCGGTTACCCGTTAGGTTCTCCGCGACATGTAGAGATAGATAGATAGATTACCAAAGCAATAAAGTTGAAAATCTATAGAAGAACCACAAGCTTGTCATGTAGATTTCGATACTAAACACCAATTTTGTCTCCAGGTTCGCGAGCTTCGTCGAAGGCAATTCTCATTTAAGCGATGATGAAGTGTTAGACTATGAATCATATGCCTTCTCTTTAGAACGTGCCAGGAAACCGACTCACATGGCCAATTCCACCAGAAACATGGAGATATCAGATGACGATGACGATGACACAGATTATGACGATGATTGAGCTGACGATGGACTGATTTAGTATAGTTTTAATGTTTCTGTTTTTCTAAGTAAAGGTGGGTGAGTATGTTTTCTTATTGGGATGTTTTCTCAGTCAATTTAATACTGGCAATGTCTTAAAATTATCACAGTTTCGTAAGTTAATATGCTAATGACCGTTTTTACCTTCTCTAAGAGATGCTTAGCGTGAAGGAGTACCTAAACGAACCCCTTGTACTGAGTGTCAAGCAACTCAATAGGGTCGACGCCTAATTTTTATTATAATGTCCGTCTGGTAGATTATTTTAAATCATTAGACACGTAATTTTTATTTTCTTACGGAAACGAATACTTTCGACGATATATTGATTTGAAATGTCACATGACGTCACTTCTATGTACATTTTATACGTAGAAATGACGTTTTAGCTCCCCACTCCTAAACTTTGATTCGTTTTATCTAAGTATTATTTTTAAAAAAATACGTGTCTAATATTTTTTCATTACCTAACTTACGGACTAATTAATTTTTAATTTTCATACCCTGTCATCATTCTAATTATACATTGGTGGAAATAAAAAAATGTTGGTAAAAGACATCTGTCTTAGTTTAGAGTTTTCTTTAAATTTAGTAGTAGTTACTGAGAACACGCACTAGTTTTCCTATAGTTATCACACTGACGTCAGAATGTAGAATCTCGTTGAATTTTCTTTATTTGTTAACTGTTTCTGTGTACCTATAGTTAATTAGGACTAGGAAACATCCCTATTACCTTAAAATAAATATATTTTTAAAACGCCTATTGCTTATAAATAGATTAAATTATCACTTGTCTGGAATTTTAGGTCGGATTCATTAATATTTTTGTAATTTTTGCACTATGCACTTGTCATGTTTCATAATAATGTATTGACTGTTGAAACTTGTAAAATAGATTATAATAACTATCGTGAGATATGCTGGTTAACTCAAACTAATGGCTTACTCACGTAAATATACTGAGAAGAGCTCTACTTGTTTCGAGTCACGTAGGGACTCTTTCTAAAGACCAGCGCGGCTACGTCGCGCTTCCTACTAAGCCTACTAGTAGAGCCATTTTCGTATAGTATGTTTACGTGGGTTTATAAATTAATAAATAAGGTACCAATATTTTTAGTTAACTTGCAAAAATATTATTTTTCTTTTCAAACACAATGAGACTGAAAAATGTAACAATAAAGGGCAAACATGGATGGGAAACGTACCTACCGACCTATAACGACCAGACGTATGTTAGAAAACTCTTTTCATGATTATTGTCGATATGTTATTGGTCGATAGGTACATTCTGCTTTGATTTATTCTAATTTAAACTGATTCCTTTCAAAAGAAAAAATGTAGTTAATCTAAATTATTCAGAATTATAGATGTTTTTTTGACATTCTTCAATATAAATAAATAATGCTTTTGACTGTTATCTATCTCAAGATTATTAAAATAATTCTTTGAAGTTCCTTTACTAATGTTGTTGACGAGATTGTATTTATTAATTGTAATACATAATATAACTAAATAAATTGTTAAAAACTGAACTGGTTAATATTGTTATGTAATTATTGGTATAGTACTTATTTGTTGCATTTTTATAACACACTGTATCTTTATAGTCGAATAAATAATGCCAGGGATACACTGAGGAACAAATGTTCCGCGACATGTCAAGTGAAGCCTGCCGATTTCGCCCGACATTATAAGGCGACAACGCGCGCTTTATGTCCACAGCGACGTCGATGTTGTCAGACATGTCGACCAAAGTCCGGCAACGTCGCGATACTTCACCCGACGTCGCTGACGACACGTGTCGCAGGACATTTGTGCCCTAGTGTATCCTTGGCTTAAAACAAAATCTTAGTCAATTACAACTGTAGTTTAAATAAAATTAACACTTAAAGGCCATCTTTATCAAAATATGAGTGTTTTCAATGATATTTAAATGAAATACTCTAGTTACAATAAATCTCCTTCTGGCTTTTTGAATATTGAGGTAATGAACAGAATTTATGAATTGAACACGCCACTGATTAATTGGAGTACCATAGCCATGTGTACCTCTTTAAAAAGATAGGAGTTCAAGTGTGGTTAAGCCATGCTTCGGCACGAGTACTGGTTCGACCGGAGTGATACCACGGCCTCACAAGAGACCGACGTGAAACAACCACAGCGTTGTGTTTTGTCGTGTGAGTGACGTTATCGAAGGCTAACCCCCTCCCCCTCCCCAATTCCCGAATCCTCAAATTCCTAATCCCCAAAAGGCCGGTAACGCACTTGTAACACTTCTGGTGTTCCGGGTGTCCATGTCAATTCCATAAAAAAAATTCTATAACTAATAAAATTCTTCTTTTCTATAACAGTTGGGGTTATTCTGTGGTTTTGTTAGACTGTTATGTTATTGACGAAAATAATGTTGAAAATAGTTTTCATTAATTAATTAATCTCATTGTTAAAGTGTGTAATTTTTTAAGGATTATTTCACAACACATTTATTGTTTGTCTACAGTCTACACATTGACATGTTTATGATATTATTAAAATCTTGTACACCTAATGTAATACGCGCGCACTTGTTTGCTTTACACCATTAAAATGTACTAGAATAATTTTCGAGTAGTGATCTCTATTACCTATGTACGAATATTGAATAGTCTATTTTGTGTAACTTATATTTTTCTTTATATATAAAACCTTCGTAAGACATACTATATTAATTATTATGTTTTCGGTTTACTCACGTATGTACTAGCGTGACAGTCGCCGCGTTGCGGTTAGCGAAATGCTGCTCATGAATATGAGCTTCTAGCACTAGTCGAGCTCGTCTAACAGAAAACATAATAATTAAATATTTTTGTTATTAATGGGATAAAGACCAATTGCTACATTGCTTACTTATGCTTATTATTTAAATATTAGCCTCTTTTGTTTAGCAATAGCTTGCTTTCCTGGCTTGTAAATTGTAATTCAACTTCGTTTTCATTTCATTTTCGTTCAAGAAAAGGAAGTTATTATTTGGTTAGTCTTGTAAAATTATCTGATTTTCTTTTATTCTGGTTTGATCTAGTCTGAATATTTAATATATTTGAATTGTAATTGAATGATCGCTGCTTTAAACCTTTTGTACGCCATGGTCGGCTGTACCGAACAAATGCATAAGTGTCCAATATGCCAGTTGGTATAAGCTGACAGATAAATTACCAAGTTTTTGACATTTACGTTTGAAAAAAAATTCTAGGTGAACTTGTCTTATTTCTATAGAAAAATATACCCTAGTATGTGTATCAGTAATGAATATTGATTCCATACTAAAATATGTACAAATCAAAGCATTGCCAATTCCTTCCATTATTACAAATGATTTTGATACATTTAATATGCTAATATTTTGTAATTAAAAAACTTAATAATTTATTATTTTCATTTGTTTCATTTACAGTATTTTAGTTTCCTATTTTTTTATAAATAGGGTAAAATCATCGAATGACTCCTCCCGCCTGGGAGAGAGTGCCAGATTCTTACTGACTAAAAACCACCCTGTTCCTACTGGCCGTGGTGGTCTGATGGCTCTTTGAGGCGCGCGTGGAACGCTACGCGCCGTACGCTCAGGTAGTTTCCTACTTTTAAGATTATACATAAAATAAAAGTAAGTCATAGTTAGTAAATAATTTATTTCAATACTTATTACAATCACAACATACAAAATTAATAAATTAGCACCATAATTAGTGTAAAATAATATAAACGTATCTATGTAAGTGCACTTTGTAGTACTTTATTCTATGTAAAACTAGTGGCAGTTACAATAGACAATATTTGAGATTTTGGTAACAATTTTGCTCATTCTATTATACATATTAAGAAATCGATGATTATATAAACGCCATAAATTATGTAATAGTAAGAGAGTGAGAGAGATTTTGAATACTTTTGTCTCATAAAATTGTAGTAAATTAAATCAATATATTTTATGCCAGATGACTGGCTTAAACACAGTTAAATACTTCTTACTATATTCATAAGCAAATGCCTGAATTCGTCGATACCTTTCATGTCATACACGCATTTTTTGAGAGCCAAACATCACACATGAATTAATTATTATTATTTAGTATTAATCAGAAGGTCACTCTAACAACAATAGTTAAGCGAAGCTAGGCAGCTCTGCTAGCTTTCTTGCTCTTATCCAGCGTCTGAGGCGGCGGGGCCGGTTTTGCTGACATGTGCCGACTGTATAAGCTGTGGAGAAAAATAGAATAAACAAATGAGTACCTGATGTACCCGATTTCATAATCAGGTACACAGCTACTTTTCAACTCTTGGGTACCTACTTGCCAACTACTCAAATTCAATACTTTTTCGAATGTCAAAAACGACAGTTTTCTACGAATTTTGTATGCGATTGTGTATTCTGGGTACCATTTTGTAGCGTCAAACAGCATACTTATTTGTTATAAATTTGTTGAAAAAAAGTTGGTCATAAAATCATTACCTAATGAAAGCGTGATTATTTCTTAATATTTTATTGTACTGAACAGTCGAAATAATTTATTGATGACTAAGGTGAGTACCCAATTGTTGAAAATATAGTCATTTATCAGGATTGTTGTGTTGGCGCTTGTACATACATAGACAAATTCACCAATATTTGCATTTGGAACACAAGTTCGTGTTGATGGCCTTAATTATAAATACTAAAACATATCTATGTAAAAATATTCTGATTTGTATTGATAAACAATTATAAGAGATCAAGCAATTTTATATTTTGACTCCATTATGAAGATTTTGGATAACATTTTCAATTTTTCAAATACAATATTAATATTGCTGCTGCTGCTGCTGCTGCTTCGTTGGCCGAGTGGTTGCAAGTGCGACTGCCGGGCAAGGGGTCTCGGGTTCGATTCCCGAGTCGGGCAAAGTATTACTGGGTTTTTTCAAAATTCTCAGTAGTAGCACGGAGTCTGGAATTGTGCCCGGTATATGGCAATAGGCTCACCCCCTATTACATGGGACTAATAACATAAATAGTGAAAAGTGGGTGTTTCATTGTACAGTGGTATAATGTGCACCTCTGCCTACCCCTTCGGGGATAAAAGGCGTGATGTTATGTTATGTAATATTAATATTCTACTTACACTTTGAAGGTCTCAGAGCGCAGATAATCGAGCACGTGTGAGGGTCCCAACTTGAGCTGGTCCTCAATGTGTGGCACCCAGAAGTTGCCTTCTAAACGCAACACTGATTTGTTGCTGGCCAAGTCGAGAGAACCTGTTATATAAAAGTTTGGCCATGACATAAAATATATCAATTTTATTATTGATCAAAGCAGAATTGGGTGTACAAATTAAGTTAGAAATTAAAGTTAAATGTTACATAAATATTAATAAATATAAATGCTAGAAGTTAAATTAAATTAAGTAAAATTAACGTTTTTAAAATAATATAAAAATGGAGTAACAAGTGGAACTATGTAAAATTAGATTTATCATACTTTTTTTGTAGCAAACATGTTAATAGTATGTAGGCACTGAATAACAAATATGTAAGCTCAGTCATAACTTACCAATTTCAGGTGGTAATACAACAAGCCTGTTGCCTTGTAGATGCAGTTCCCTCAAGCGAGCCAGCTGACCAAGCTCACGGGGCACTTCAATCAAATCGTTTTCGCGCATTGATAGCTGAAAAATGAGAACAAAAAAGGTCATTCACAGACAGTCAAAGTCAAAATCATTTATTTCAATTAGACCAGGAAGGCACTTTTGAACGTACGAACAAAATATTTAATATATCCTATGATATTGACGATTATAAAAAATTGCTGATGTTAGACGTTTCATGAAATCATTTTCCTTATACAATTAATTTTAATTATGTTAGTTGTTTTTCCTTATCGACAAATATTTTGTTAAATACTTACAATTTGTAAGTTCTTCAAGTTACCAATTTCAGCAGGCAAATATTCGAAGTCATTATCACCGAGGTACAATGCACGGAGACTATCTGAAAATTTACAATTATAACTTAGTAAATGTATTAATTTGTATTAAAAATTAAGTTTAATAAAAAAGAATTGGTACTGTATATTTGTACACTGATTGCTGTCTATATTACGTATATCAATGACTGCTGTTTCACCCGTCAGAAAACGGTCTGGTGATTAGATTTCTGACCAGTAATATTTCGGAAATATGTTAATGAACTTATAACTATTATACAAATACAATACAATACAAATAGTTTATTGTGTCAATAAGTACATTACATGTTAACGTGTTTGGAGCCCCCATTTAAGCAAACAATGCCTGTATTAGGAGGCTCCGCTCTTTTTACATCATTGTCGTACACATAATACCAACACAGTTAATATTATAGTTTACTGAGACCTTAGGGTAAATATGCAATGTAAGTACATTTATTATTTTTATTATAATTACATAAAAACAATACCAACCCATGATAAAGAAATTTCCAGGTAGATTCTTCTCATTTAGATTATTGTATGTCAGGTCCAGGATTTCCAGAACAGGGAATGAACCAAAGCCTCTCGGTAAACCATTGAGTCTGTTGAGAGATACATTGAGGATACGGAGCTTCGGCAGGGAAGATAGACTGACAGGTAGTTCAGTGATGTAGTTGTTGGCAAGATTCAGGATTTCCAAGTTTGCAAGGTTTGCAAGAGCAGCCGGAACTACTTGGATCTTGTTGTGGCTTACGGAGAGGCGAGTTATGTTGGCGAGATTGACTGTTAGGAAATAAATTTATTATTAATTAAACTGTCAAACACCAAGTGGACACCGGTGACCGTAACCTATTGTTCTTTAATTGTGTCTATAAATACAGTACTCGACGAGTTAATGATTATATCCTTCATTTTTTATTTTTTTATTAAATAGTACATAATAATACATAATAAAGTTATTCTCAGTTTCCAGTAATTAATAATACATCCCAGAAGGAAGTTATGGAAAAATAGGGAAGGAAACACCTTACAAAACAACACTATGTATGATCAATTGCATGATGTCATGGGTTATAATTAACTCAGTTCTTAAAAGCAATAAAATATTATTTTATCTACTACGAAATACAGACACAATGATTTAAAAACTGCTCAAATTGTAATCTTAATATCTGTGGGCGAAATCTCAAACTAGATTAACTAATAAAAATATAAAGAATACTTAGGCTTCAGAATCAGTTTGAATGAAACCTTGAACATGTTTTGCTCACATTGCAAGCATTTGGGTGGTTATTTTCAATTTTTACTAACCGATATAAAAGAAAAACGCAAGTTTATATACATACGGCATGCCTATAAATAACATGTACTGTATGCAATACACCCAACGCACAAACAAGTTTCATACAAACAGGTTGCACTACGCCCTTTTAAGGGTAAACAGGTTTAAAGTAATTAACTTACACAAGCCAGGTATCTCGTCCAAACTAGAGAGTCCTTTATCAACCAAATCTATTTCAGGATTGTTATTTTCCTTCGCTTCTTCAATAACTTTTTTAGCTTTCGACATTTTGCCTGTGTTTGGAATACAGGAAACTGGAGGTTGATGACTCATAATATCAACAGCTGTTTTCTTGGTCTACTCAAGGCGCGTTCCAGACACGTTTTGGCACATGTTAAACATATGTTTTATTTTATTTTTTGTTGTTTATGATACCGACAGAGAAAAGTCATGATTAAATAACCCATAGATCTGTAATAAATATTGTTGCAATGAATTAATCATTTTCGTTGACTTTAGGTCTTATCATTATTCACACGATTGAAATCTAAGTACGATAATATTTTTTAAATTATATCTAGTGACACTGGAACGCAACTGTCACAGGCCTGTCAAATTCAAGCTGTCTACATTAGTGAGTGCGGCGACTTTTAATTCAGATATTTATAGTCGATTACTAATGTTAGTAGTCGAGTTGAGGTATATCTAGCGCAGCGACATGCTAATGGGAAAGCGGTAAAGCATTTGGATAAATTGACTGATTAGCCGATGATGATGATTATATTAGTTTCATTCGTTATGGATTACCATACCAAGTTTTTCTTGTACCGAGAATAAAATATGAGATTTGTGTAAAGTACCATGCAAACTATGTAACTAATCCAGTTACCACTAGATACCAATAAAAAGCTCATGCTTTCGATAAATTAATAATGTTGACATTGCCATTACAATAATTTTTAGGCGATTATATAGTCGACTAAAACATTATATTTTTAGCCTTTTCATTTTGGGTATTTGATAAAATCGATTTAAAATTCCATTAATATTGTTCAAATATTAATTTTAGTTTGGATATTGCATTATAAACAATTAATCTGTGTACTTAAATGTTATCGTATTGACGAGTTGACGACTAATAATCCGTGTTGAGTAATCGTTATCAGTGTGTATTACTGTGATTACGAATTGTCAAAATTGATTGAGCTCGACTCTTGTAATTTGATAAACTGTTAGAAAATACTGAGTTGGGTTCTACACAGCTGTGTCAGGTGAGTTAGAGATAAAAATCGTATAATTGTTTTATATTACTTATTGTTATTTCCAAAATTATTAATAGCGTTTGTGTGTTACGAAGGAATTTTAATATTTACCGGCGTTTTACTTTGTTCCTATGTATCTTGCAATTGATATAATAATAAAGATTCTATTGTTCTAGTTTGTGTACTATATTTAATTAATTCAGCCTTTGTGTAAACATTAACGCAAATGAGACAAACAAGGTTTTTTATATCATTTATTACATGTACTTCCACTGTGAAGAATGAACTGGATTGAACTTTGTTCTTTAACTTTTTTGTTTTTTTTTTAATGTAGATTAGATAATAATATTTTGCTGAATATTATAATTTGTAATTTTTGGCATTTTATTTTTATTCCACCCCTGTCTATTAAATTACACTAGAACACACATGTTAGATGCTTTGTTTAGCTTCTTAATCCTTTTATTTGCTACATTAGGAATTTATCAGATATCTCATTGTTTTATCTCAAGACCCATCTAATAAGACTTATCACACTTCTTTTATAGTCTTGTTAGAATACATCATGTATTTTTGTTAGAAGTTTCCTTACTCATTATTGATATATTAATTCATTGGGCATGATCAATAAACGCAATCAGGTAGTAATTTCAAAATCAAGTTATCGAGTTATACAAATTGCAGCAAAGTTTGTAATATAGATAACAAGTTTTATTTAACTTAGTACATAATAGTCTTGATAACAATTACAAACATAATAATCATTATTTTATAATCTGGTAAAATAAACTAAAAAAGTTACAACTGGCCTTTTATTTTTTTTTTAAACTGTCAATCACCAAGAGGTCACCGGTGACCGCAACCTATTGTTGTTTAATTGTGTCTATAAATACGGTACTGACCAGTTAATTAAAAAAATTATAAAAAAAAGAATTGAACTGTTTCTGTACAAAATAATGTTAATTCATTAAAGTATGTGTACCTACTTGGACAACTAATTATCAGTAACTAATGACTCACTAAAGACAAAGGATTAACTAAGACAAGCCTAGCTTCATAATAATTAGTATAATGTATAGATCTAAAGTATAATGAACCCTTGTACTAAGCACTGAGGTGCATGTATGGAAAATAACTAAAAGCTACATAGTCAATTCATGTTCCGGAACAGCAAATTGGCCAGCCACTGCATTATGTGGTGGATTATAAGAAAAAATGCTCCAAATGTCACGTGTGCACCTGCACATTACCATCAATTAACTGAATAATATTCTGCCAAGGTTAAAACAAAATAAGTTTTCAAATATACCCCAGTCCTAATAAATAGAAGTCAGTGTGATATAGTTAACATGTTTGTATTTTGCAGCCATGAGTGAGCGACCACAGCCTCTGAAGGCCGTCAACAAGCTCTTTGAGGGCAAAGAGCCATGGCAGATAGTCACAATGACTGCATCCTCAGTGCTCGCCATTGTGTGGGCACATAGCTTGTACAATGCCAAAGAAAGTAAGTAATCCACATCATCATAGTAGGTAGTTATGTGATGATAATGAGAGGGCTGGCCATACTATGATATTTCTTTCTATACCATACTGCCTTTTGTCCCCAAAGGGGCAGAAAGCCACACTATATGCTTGACTTGTACACTATGTACTCACCTTTCACCAGGTATGTCATTAATGTAACAGGGGTGAGGCTATAGTCAATTTGCCATACATATACCGGGCACAAGTTCAGACTCCGTGAAAAATTAGTAGTACTAAGAATTTTCAAAAATCCGATAAAAAGCTACCCAAGCTGGTAATTATAACCGAAATCCTTAGCTCGTGCACTTTGACCCAGTCGGGGATCGTGTCCGAGACTCCTAGCTCGACAATTGCACTTGCGACCGAGTGGTCGAGTGGCCAATACAATAAGCCAGTCAGCTAATTTTAAAGATATTTCCATTTTCCTTTATCTAGGTGTCACAGTGCGTCTTCGCAAGGAATTCTTCAGATGGCTTCGTCAGGTGCCGATAGTCAGGAGGAAAATTGAGGAGAAGATGGCAGAAATCAACAGTGACTTCCGAAAGGATGTGGCCAAGAGGTTAGCTGGTGTGACAGTCAGGAGAGAACTGCCAGAGCATGGACTGGACTCCGAACAGGTGATGGAGGAAGTCAGGGACCATGTGGCGCTAGGTAAGAGGCATTGTCATATTCATTGGCTTTTTTTGATATATCGTACCAGCAGCTGTAGCCAAATGCCATTTAGCGCTTGACTACATGTAGAGAACCAAATTATATGGAATTGACGTAAAAGCAAGTACCAATGTGACTTTTTCAAAGTTATATGTACTTACTAAGATTATCTAGACACCACTGACAAACGGTGAAGAAAAAACATCGTGAGGAAACCTGGGCTTATAATTTCTAATTATAAGTTTGTAATCGCCAACCCGCATTGAGCAAGCGTGGTGATTAATGCTCAAACCTTCTCCGTGTGAGAAGAGGCTTTGCTCAGCAGTGGGTATTTATAGGCTGTTGATGATGATGATGACGTAAATTTTGTCACTTATCAGTGTCACCCCCGTAGGTACATTTAGATACCTACTCTCTCTGTAGACAAGCGCTAAAGTGACGTTTGGCTAAAGGAGCAGTTTCTTTGTCTGTCTATTCTATAAATCTCTTTCTACTGAAAGACAAACAATGGAGTTACATGAGTCTATTTTTCAATTATTCTGACTCCCTCTTCCCCCTGTAGAGATGTTGCGAGATTTGCCACGAACCCCCTTTTAAACCGGGAAGAAGTTTTTAGCCTTGTTATTCCATCCCCGGCAGTTGACCTAAATAGACTCGCTAACTGCGCAGTAGTGCCTAGGTACTGTAGTTAGGGTTGCCACCTTTTTTTTGGTATTTAAAGTACATTGACGATTATAGGTAAGAAAAAAAAGTACACAGTACAAAAATAAAGTACAATTTATTCTTATTTAGTATTATATTTAAAAATGTATTTTTATTGCTTTTTGCAGTTTGTATTAAATTAGTATCTTTACTAAACAATTGCATTGAAATACTAAACAATTGCATCTATACTATAAATTATCTAAGTGGCGCTTGCGAGTGGCGAAATCGATTCAACATAAAACTATAAATATCGATATCAAATCGATAAGTTTACCAAAAAATACTTACCGACTTTAATAGAAATGAAGTTAGCAAAGCAAAAATAAAGTATTTTCGTGTACTATATTATTCTTATAAAGTATAGAGCACAATTACCTTAAAAAACGTACAATACTTTATTATAAAGTACGGGTGGCAACCCTAACTGTAGTGCACATGTACCTAATGTATACAAATTGGTTAGTCGGATGAGACGGCCATCCGATACAAGTACAGAGAGGTCAAGCGACAAGGTCAAGGACTAAAGGATTGTATGCGCTGACGATAAAATATGAGTATTCTTCTTCTTGACTGACTGACTGCCTCGTTGGGTGAGTGGTCGCGCAACTGCCGGGCAAGGGGTCTCGGGTTCGATTCCCGGGTCGAGCAAAGTACTACTGGGTATTTTATAAATTCGCAGTAGTAGCATGGAGTCTGGAATTGTGCCCGATATATGGCAATAGGCTCATACCTCATTACATGGGACTCATAAGATAAATAGTGAAAAGTGGGTGTTACATTGTACAGTGGCATAATGTACACCTCTGCCTACCCCTTCGGGGATAAAAGGCGTGATGTTATGTTATTCTTCTTCTTATTATTTTTAGTTTTCCCTACGTTTTTTGCATGTGTCGTCAACCCAGCCCAACTAAGCGAATGCACATAAATAATAGAGACTGGGTATCATACCAGCGCTCTCTGATAAAACCTAAAGCTGCGATCTCCTATGTCTAGTTCATGTCACTAGCTAAGAAGTTCCGCCTACCACAATCACATTCTTGCTTAAAAGATTTTTTTATATCTTATAGGCCGACGTTGGTGTGGTTGTTCTCTTTATTGTTTTTAACACGTTCAGACCGGCGTGTACCACCGGTGGTACACCTCGCTGTGGCAGCAAATGCTCCGTGCTCCACCGGTGGTACATCACCTGCCACGCTTAAAAATTAGGGCAATGTTTTATTTTTATTGCCAAATAATTCTCCGTCACACTTTAACCTTGAAATGTTATTCCTAGGTGCCTACGACTGGCAAGGGGGTAGCGTATCAGGCGCAGTGTACCACGTAAGCAAAGAGATCAGTAAAGTGGCGTGTGATGCCTACAGCCTCACTGCATATACGAACCCCCTACACGCTGACGTGTTCCCCGGCATCAACAAGATGGAAGCTGAAATAGTCAGGATGGCCATCAACCTGTTCCACGGAGACGAAGACTGCTGTGGTACGGTGAGTGATGTTTATTTACTATTAATAGTGATTATTATTTATTCGGATCCGAATATTTTATGTGTATGTTAACTTGTATGTTTGTTAAAGCACCCACGATATAGGAGAAAATCGTAGTGTGAGACATCATATGTTAAAAGAAGGCTGGATGGTCATTTAGTGAATCTGACTGCTCGATTTGGGTTGTGCAGAATATGTTTGCAAACTTGAATAGTTAAATTGCTGTGCCTACAGAGGTACAGCACCGTTTGATAAAGAAAGCTGATCCTGTCTAGTATAACAGGCGAGGAACTAGATGACTAGTTTAAGTTAAAGCTAAAGCTTAGAATTTTATCTCAGTGTAACAAAATTGGACGACCCTCGAGGCACTTTGTAAAAAAAGCGAAGTGTTACAAAATTGCTTTGTAGCATTTGACCGTGAACCGACTTTGAATCTATTTTGTAAAAGGCTTAGTAAGTGATATATGCAAGTATATAATAAAATGCTAATTAATGAGCAGCGAAATTATTTCTACGATGATTGATACTGATGATTGTATCATAAGTAGTTAGTAGTACTGTAGACCTTTTCGCAATTTGAATGACAAACTACTATATAAAAATAAGTCGGGTTTTCCTTCGTGACGCTATAACTCAAGAACGCACGAACCGATTTCCATGGTTTTGCATTCGTTGGAAAGGTCTCGGGCTCCGTGAGGTTTATAGCAAAGAAAATTCACTAATCAAAGCCATCTGGTGGCGAAACGGAGTTCGCCGGGTTTGTTAGTTGGATATAAGACTGGCAGCGGTGCTTTTGATAAGCCCTTTGAATTACGATCTTCAACCCACTTGCAATGCGTGGACATTGTAATAGACAGACAGGGAGACTTGTCTAGGGGGCTCGTAGTTCACCAGTTGACTGTGATGGACTGATGATGATGATGATGATGATGATGATGATGATGATAAGGGATCCAAATAGGTATCAGGGTATTGATTGCAAACGGGCACCAGGCTCATATGTTAGAGATAACTCTGGAATCGCTTCGGCACGAATGGGCCGGCTCGACCGGAGTTATACAACGGTCTCACAGAAAACCGACGTCAAGAAACGCTTGCGTTGTGTTTCGTCGTTTGAGTGAGGTTATCGGAGTTCCAATTACCCCTCTCCCCTTCCCCAATTTCTCCAATCCCTTTATCCCCAACGATCCTCAAACTCCTGTTCCCCAAAAGGCCAGTAACGCACGTGTAACGCCTCTGGCATTCCGCGTGTCCATGGGCGACGCCGATTGCTTACCATCGGGTGACCCGATTGATCGTATACCGGCTTACCCCATAAAAAACAATTGTGATAACTTTGGAACAGGAAATTGTTATCAGGTTTCCTGACAAATGTGGTCAAGGTACTATTCCGAAATTTGGAATCGAAAAATCTATAAATACTCTCACCGACCAGAAGGAACACACTATGAGATCAGCAGTCCTTATGACCACTGTACTAAGACAATACAATTCAAATATACTAGGTAAATGGACTTTGGTCTAGGTCAAACAAAAAATTCCATGTGATCACCAAATTACTAGGTAACAGTACCTATTGTACTGTACACAAATTTTTTACAAGTGACCTTGAAAACAAATTATAATTATCCGCGCAGATAACAAAGATAATGTTTCACTAACAATACTATAAACTTGTTGTAAAAAGGTATTAAAAAATGTAAATTAGCTAGATGTTGATAGTAAGTATGAATGCTCAAGAAGTACCTAAATGAAATCTATTTCGTTTTTGTCCAGAAGTAAAACAGTTCTGTCTCAGTAATACAATAGTTTTATAAAGAAATAAAATGATTAAGAAATATTGTGAAATGATTGAGAACAGGCTACACAGTAGCACATGATATACGACATGATTCTAATATAAAGTTAGCCACTCTAACGTCCGGGCCGCGCGACCGTTTATCTCTCTAACGTCCAGCTGCGCGCGGCTTTCGAACCGCGCGCGACTCGCAAGTTCGTCGTAACAAAAAACCTATATAGCTACTGAACCGTAATGGCTAGAATAAAGAAAAAAGTACCAAAAAAAAGATTGAAGAATACTGATCAATCTTAACGATTTTTTTAAATTGTAAGTTATAATCTTTGATACAAAAAACCGGGTTAAACATGTAATTCAGAAAAAAATTACACAATTATTTCTACCTTTTTAGAATATAAGGCACAACTATTGCATATTTTATCAATAAAATACTTTTACAACAAACTAGACTTATTACCCTTTCTTCTGATGTATATACGATTACATTCGGTTAACTTTAAGTATTTTAATTAAATCAAAACAAAACACTACTCCTCGTAATTTTACCGCGATGTGCCGAGCGCCCTTGACTCGTCCGAGAAGGCGAAATAATAGCAATATGGCCGCCCGTCTAAGGTTTCCCACACACGATGTAATTTTAATAAAATTTATTTTAAATAATTTTATGAATTAGTTTTATGCAATAATTGTATTTTTGAAGTTGTTTATTTGTTCTAGTTGGTTATTTAAATAAAAAGCAAATAAAAAAATCAATATATAATATAATAATTTATTCCTTCCACACATTTATATATGGTAAGCCATAAAACAATTTTCAATGCAGAGATTGACGTCGCTGTGAATAATTTAAAACATTAGTATTGTTAAAAGAATAAAATAAAATTTGGCGAAGCATTAAAATATATGCGACCATGCAACACGTGCAAGGGCAACAGTAAAAAAGAAAGGTAGTCAAATCCACAAGTGCATTTTTTTTACATTTAGCGGAAATTAATCAACACGAACAAACATGTAATTAATGTTTCAAAACAAAAAAAACCATTAGAACATTATACATATCCAACGGAAACCAAGCGAAAAATAAATGATGAATATTAGTACAAAACCCAAAAGTGCATTTTATATTAAATATTAGTATCATCTCAAGCAAAATATTATACCACCACTAGCAAAACAAAAATAATGCAAACATATTTTGCCGTGTATAGCGAACCTTATTTATCACGTTTCATGTAACGTCCGTGGATACCAAACAGTCCACATCAAAAAACCTGAGGAACACATTGACATTATTATGGAATCTTCAGTGAATTTAGTATATTTCTCTTTGAAAAATGTATTATTTTGCTTATTACGAAATGTATTTCGATATTTTATATACTATTGTAATGCAAAGTATGTAAAATATGTATAAACAAAACTAAAAGTGGCCGACACCATACGCCCGGCCATTTTTTTCGAAACAACAATTGTTTGAAGTTAAAAGTAGACTAGATTTATCAGCTAAAACTGTGATATTTATACATCATCGTAAAGCACAAATCTTCTAGTTTATTTTGATGTATAACACTTGCAAGATAAATAAAACAAAACTGTAGTACTTACGACATAATTGTTGGCACTCACAAAAACACTTCACAACACGCGCGTCAAACGAGTCAACTGAACTTAAAAAATTATATTTTGTTTGTCAAAGCTTATTACACTGCCATCTCTATTTTTTTCGTCGAACTATTTATTCATCTGTATAGATAATCTGTCAAAACTCACCAAGCAAGACCGTATTTTAAACTAGAGGGCGTTAAACACAACTCGTCGCTTTGGATACTATAGTATCCATGGGCGTATGACGCTACTTTTTTCTTGGATACCGTACTATCCACGGACGTCAGAGTGGTTAGATAAGGCGGACATTTATTAACTGACTACTCTAGGCCATTAGCCAAACGCCACTTTAGCGCTTGTCTACAGATAGAGTAGAAATCAAAATGTATGGGGATGACACTAATAAGTATCAAAATTTACTTCAATCCCATATAATTTGGTTTTCTATTCTACATGTAGACAAGCGCTAAATGGCATTTGGCTAGAGCTGCTGAAAAGAACTAGAAGAAGAAAGAAAGAAAAGAACACCGAAATCAATACAGAGGTCACATTTTTAAAGTCCAGACAAAGTAGGAGACCAATGCATGTTTATTATGTAGTAAGAAGAAGCCACACAAGGTTGAGTGGCCCTGTATTCACGGCAGGCAGTTTATGACCAGTAACTAATAAATCTATATAAATAATAAGAAATTTCCGTTTGTTAGTCTCGCTAAAACTCGAGAACGGCTGAAGCGATTTGGCTAATTAATTATGGACTTGAAATGTTCATAGAAGTCTAGGGAAGGCTTAAACGAAGTTTGCTTGGTCAGCTAGTTAAATAATATTTTTTTCCCTAAAAGAATAATGAATGGAGTTTCTTGCTCGTTCTTCTCCATTCGAATCTACATTTTGGAATATGTCCCTAGCTTTGCTGACGGACAGACTGACAGACTATTATTTATTTTGTATTTGTTGACGTTTCAAAAGTACCCAATTATGGTTTAATTGAAATAAATGCTTTGACTTTGACATTGAATTGAATTGTCTTTTTTATTATTAATAATTTATTCCCACACGTGTTATTTATGAAATTTATTTCTATTTTAACATTTTCAGGTAACAACAGGCGGTACAGAATCAATAATAATGGCCTGTAAAGCATTCAGGGACCTTGCTTACAGTAAGGGTATCAGCAACCCACAAATCGTAGTACCATCCACCGTACATACAGCTTTCGATAAGGCGGCTCAGTACTTAGGACTATCTGTGAAGACGGTACCAGTGAACCCAGAAACCATGACTGTTGACATTGAGAAGGTTAAGAAGGCTATTAGTAGACGGACTTGTTTGGTAAGTTATAGTAAATTACGGATTTTTTGATCCTCGAAAGCGTAAAAATACGACATCAAACTAACACAACAAAACCATAACAAATAATTACGTGAGTATGTCGAAAAATATAATAATGAATATATACAAAGCAAGCTTCCTTGTGCGTACTGCTAAGGAGTGGGTTTTTTTGCCAGAGTCTGTGTTTCCTGAAGGGTATAACGTATAACCTGGGTGTCTTCAAGGCCCGAGTGAATAGGTTACTTATGGGTCGACGTGCTCCATCGTAGACCGCACCATCGCTAACCACATAACATAACATCACGCCTTTTAATCCCCGAAGGGGTAGGCAGAGGTGCATATTTCGGCACTTAATGCCACTGTACACCCACTTTTCACTATTTATGTTATAAGTCCCATGTAATAGGGGGTGAGCCTATTGCCATATACCGGACACATTTCCAGACTCCGTGCTACTACTACTGAGATTTTTAAAAACCTAGTAATACTTTGCCCGACTCGGAAATCGAACCCGAGACCCCTTGCCCGGCAGTCGCACTTGCGACCACTCGGCCAACCAAGGGAAATAGAGGTCAAACCTCAGACCATCAGATATAAAAAAAACGACACCACTTTACCTTTGCCTCGCTTTGTATAATAATTCCGCGCAGTCGACGGTCAGTTTATACTGGTTTTGAATAGCATAAACGATATGAACAGTTTCGTTGTTAGTATGATACTGGATAAGTTTATTACCATAGTACCGAGCATAATTCCAGTCCAGATCCTATTATTGAGAATTCTAAATAATGTGCCCGGATAGTTTCTAGTATAGGGTAACGTTTTTAAAAAGAAAGGGATGAGTTAAGAAGTATTTTTCTTTTTCAGATCGTAGGCTCGGCTCCGAACTACCCCTACGGCACAATGGATGACATCATTGCCCTGTCAAATATCGCAATCGAGAACGACGTTCCACTCCACGTGGACGCCTGCCTCGGAGGCTTTGTGGCCGCCTTCATGCCCGACGCCGGGCATAATATACCCGTCTTCGATTTCCGACTGCCCGGAGTCTCTAGTATATCTGCTGATACGCATAAAGTAAGTCTTCTTCCTTTAATAAGAATGTTTAAAAATAAAAATAGTTTCCAAAGTAGGAGCAAACTCCTTAGTATTTATGTAAATTTGCACCTAGCTATTTTTTGTAGTGTCTCTCGTACTATTTAGAGAATACCCGACCGGTTTCGAGTTACATCGGGGCCCTTAATCATGAGCTAGTTAAACGACGTCACTCACCCAGGACCCAGCGTTTTAATACGCGATTTAAAAAAACACCCTACTCTTTTAATTTACAGTACGGGTTTGCACCAAAAGGCACATCAGTGGTCCTGTATCGCAAGGCGGAGTACAGACACCACCAGTACACTGTCACCACAGAGTGGCCCGGCGGAGTCTATGGATCGCCCACTGTCAATGGTATGTTGTTATAAGCTTAGCTACCCCTATTACATGGGACTCATAACATAAATAGTGAAAAGTGGGTGTTACATTGTACAGTGGCATAATGTGCACCTCTGCCTATCTCTTCGGGGATAAAAAGGCGTGATGTTATGTTATGTTAAATGCTCCCATGGGATAAAATAGGACAAGGCAAAGCCACGGATAAAAGCTTTTTTTTTTGAAAGGGGGAAATTCATCCAAAGACTTCTCCCACCCGGTTGAGGCGGGAGGGAGTGTCAGACTCTTACTGACTAAAAACCACCCCGTTCCTACTCCTGCACTTCGAGCTGGTGCGCCGACAACCCGTTAAGTCTTCCGTGGCTCCGCGGATAAAAGCTAGTTTATAATATTAGTAGGATCTGCAGGACAATTGGATAAAGATCCGAATAAATATCCCTGTTAGTCCAAAATAGAAAAGTTATAAGATGTCTTATGTTACAAAATGCTTGCCATATGACCATTGATTGGTGCAATACTATACTGTTCTTAACTTCTACCAACTAAACGAGCAATGGATACCTTATTGCGTACCTCGTACCTCCTACGTGGTACCACAATATGGTATCCAAATTGCAAATGTCGAAATAAGTATGCATTGTGAAAATTGAAACTGAATTGTGTGACACCGGAATAGAATGCATTTTGAGATAACATGACACCCTGCTTACGTGATACATTTTTGTAGACATTTTTCTTACTTCAGTTGTTATTTATGTGATAACCACATGGAAGAGAACTGAAATTGTTTATGACGGAGCCTAATAGGCCTATAAGTGAGTTATGGAAGCCCAATCCATTTAATGGTTTTTTATGGTATAAACGACCAGACGGATCACCTGATGGTAAGCAATCGGCGTCGCCCATAGACACCAGAGGCGTTACAAATGCGTTACCGGCCTTTTGAGGACTAGGAATTGGAGGATTATTGGAAATTCAGGGATTGGGGAGATTGAGAAGCGAGGTAGTGGGGCCTTCGGTAACCCACACGACGAAACACAACTCAAGTTTTGTTTCACTATGGTTTTCTGCTCGTTGGTGGTATCACTCCGGTCGAGCCAGGCCTGCAGTGCCGAAGTATGGGTCTCACACTTTAAACACACACTCTCCCACACTGTTCCATTATTTTCACACATCTCAAGACATCCATTGCCTTGAAAAACGTTTAGTTTTATTCTTATTTGAGAGCTCGTACACAAAATTGCGATGCGATGCGAATTAGTAACGCAAAAAATTACGATGCGAATTGCTGCGATGCCAATTGCTGCGATGCGATTTCGTGAATTGCGACAATGAGTTTCCCAGGGTGACCATTCCTTCGACGACAGTCAACTGTACTAAACGCATTTTAAATTGAACACTAGGTCGTGACATGCATCGTAAAAAGTGTGCACTTCTATTATTTCTTAGGAGATAAAGGAAAAAGACACAAAGATGATTTTGGGAAGATAAGACTATGATGCGCCATGCGAATCAATTCGCAAGTTCTTGCGATATGGAAAGGGAGCTCGCAACTTTTTTGCGTTGTGACGTCGCATCGCAGTTTTGTGTACGAGCCCTAAATGAAATCTTACTATTACATTATAAATGCATGTATGTGAGTTTTGTGTGTATGTTTGTTACTTAATCACGTCAAAATGACTGAAGGCATCGAGATTAAATGGAATAAGACTATATTAACATCTGGAATGACACAGGCCTAACCATCTACTTTAAAATCTATCCTTACTAATATTATAAATCGGAAAGTGAGTTTGTTTGTTTGTTCCGCTTTCACGCCGTAACTACTAGGCCGATTGCTTTGAATTTTTGCAGACGTAAAGTTAGAAGTCTGGATTGAATAATAGGGTACTTTTTATCCAGGAATAATTTGATATTCCCGAGGGAAAACAAAATTATTGGTATAGATGGCGCTGTGTGGATTGGTATATATCACATAGGCTACTTTTTATCCTTTTGTGACGCGAGCGAAGCCGCGGGTAAAAGTTAGTATATATAAAAATAAAACCCGTTTCCCGTCGTCACGCCATAACTTGAGAATGGCTGGAACGATTTGACTGATTTTTTTTGTTGTGTTTGTTATTGTCAGCATAAGGATCTTATTATTAAAAAAAAATCCTGAAAATTTTATGGGAACGGGAGAAAACGGGATTGCGCGTACAAAGTCGCGGGCAAAAGCTAGTATATTATATGTGTCAAGTGTGTCAACTACCAAACCTATTAACATTTTAACACAATTTTTATAAATACAGGCAGTCGCGCGGGTGGTCTGATAGCGGCGTGCTGGGCGACTATGATGTATGTTGGCAAGGCGCGGTATGTCACCATGACTGACGAGATTATCAAGACAGCCAGACATATCGAGGAAGAGTAAGTTTTACTTTTTATACAGAAAGATCTTTTTTTTGTTTCCCATCTTGTTTCTTTTAAACTGTCAAACACCAAGCGGTCACCGGTGACCGCGACCTATTGTTCTTTAATTGTGTCTATAAAACCGGTACTCGACGAGTTAAGGGTCTATAGAATCTTGGATCTAAAATATCCAAGGTCCCTTTGAATCTACATTGTAATCTTTCTTCTATTGTAATCTACATTTTAATCTTCATTCTAATCTAAATTGTAATTGTAAATAAGAAGTAGTTAATAGAAACCTTTTTTTATGATAGGGGAAAATCATCCAATGACTGCTCCCGCCTTGGTGAGGCGAGAGGGAGTGTCAGACTCTTACTGACTAAAAACCACCCCGTTCCTACTCCTGCTCTTCGAGCCGGAGCCCCGGCAACGGTTAATATAAGCCTAAACCTTAAAGTTGGACTTTAAATACCTCTTAAAGTTAAAAGTAGACCTATTTGGATTTAAAACTAAGTTGATATCTTACGTTTGTATAGTTTTTTAATGTTACTTTGCTCATTAATAGTAAACCAACAGGATTAACTCGTGCCCCTCCCACTATACTTATCCAATTTAACTCGTCGAGTACCGGTTTTATAGACACAATTAAAGAACAATAGGTCGCGGTCACCGGTGACCGCTTGGTCTTTGACAGTTTAATCTATATTGATAAATAAAATTGAAGTGTCTGTTTGTTAATATATGCATATGAATATACATACGATACACATACCAAAATCACATGTTTTACAATGTTTGTCTGTCTGTCTGTCTGTTTGTACTGGCTTATCTCTGAAATGACTGAACCGATTTTGATGGGAGTTTTATTGACAGGAAGCTGATGTACTAAGGAGTAACATAGGAATAACATACTTTTATTTTGGAAAATTGCAGCAAAATAATAGTTATGTCCTAAAATCTATTCATTCATATTCTACGCAAACGAAGTCGCGGGCAACAGTTAGTTAATAAATAAAACTTGATTTTTAAGTACAGTTTATCTTAGTCTAATTATTAAAATTTGTTATCTACAGGGTGCGCAAGATCCCAGGTCTCTTCGTGTTTGGCAAACCGGCAACGTCAGTAATAGCGTTCGGATCAAACCAGTTTGACATATTCAAGATGGCTGAATTACTACACAAAAAGGGGTGGAGCTTAAACGCTTTGCAGTTCCCGTCTGGGTAAGTAATGAATTTAGTATGTAAGATTTTAAAAATATATTTAGAATTATTTTGTAGCTGGTCGACGCTGCTAGTAAATAATTAGGATAGATTCTGTGAAAAATTATGCAAAAGAAAAATTATTCGGTGTCATTGGTGATGTCACAGAAGAAGATCTTAATGATGTTTACAAACATGTTTAACAATGTAACTAACATAAGATAATAATTTATCTTAAGTTAGTTAATAATTTATCTTATGTTAGTTACATTAATAGCCTGATACAGTCGCTTACCACCAGTCGAGTTGGTGGCCAACAGCCATCCTATTAACGACAATAAAAAAGCTACTAGCAATGCTTTTGTTTTTATAATAACTATCGCGAGATATACTAAATTAACTAAAATAGCGGGTAACTCACGCGAATATATTGAGAAAAGCTCTACTAGTTTCGAACTACAGAGGGGTCAATAAGTAAATAACTACCGATGACGTAATCATCATCTAGACTCCCCTACCCCCCATATCATCCAAAATAAGCAAAACAGAGACCCCCTACCCTCCCATGGTGTTTCCGTAATACTTGAACGACCCCTTGGCGTATTATTAGTTATCCTAAATAATGTAATGTGTGTATGTCCCAGTATCCACATCTGCGTGACGCACGCGCACACCCAGGCGGGCGTGGCGGCGCGGTTCCTGCAGGACATGCGGGCCGCCGCCGCCGACTGTACTGCCAACTCTAACGCACCCGTCGAGGGGAAGGTATGCAACATTATTATTGTACTATTGTAATGGTGGACTGGGGGATCAAATTTCGATACATTTGAAACTGATGGTAAACAATCGGCTCCGCGCATGATCACCTGCAGCAGTAAGAGTTATAAATTCGAGGCAGATCTTAGAGATTGCGAATTGGAAATTGGGGATTGGAGATTGGTGATATTTGGATCTCTAAATTGATTCTCTAAAGATTAGAGATGATAGCAACGTTCTGGGTTTCCGCTAACCTCACTGACACGGTATAACACAATGCAAGCATTATCTCAATGACAATGACACTCTTAAAGTTAATCTTGTTTTCTCAGATGGCGATTTACGGCGTAGCTCAAGAGATATCGGACAGGAGTTTGGTATCAGACATCACGAAGTACTTCATAGACTCAATGTACTACCTACCTAAGGCAGACGACTAGTATAACTTGGTCTACATCACGAAAGTACCTTATAATTGCGGCCATAGTTTTCATTAGGCTATAATTACTCTCTACATATATTGGTATAATGTTTTTAAAGCGTGCTTATATATGAAAATAGAGATGATGGTAAGTAGTCAAATTCAATACTTATTTTCAAATGTCGACAAACTTTTCTTTGAATATCATACTTATTTCTCTTAAATAAGATTGAAAAACGCTAAAGTTAAATCACTTAGTGAGGGTATATTTATTTTTACTAAATAATCTATCTATATAAATATAAATGAGTTTACGTTCGTTAGTCTCGCTAAAACTCGAGAACGGCTGAACCGATTTGGCTAATTTTGGTCTTGAAATCTTCGTGGAATTGGATAGATGCCTATTTTTATTTTAATGTCCGTCTGGTATATTATTTCAAATCATTAGACACGTATTTTTTATTTTCTTACAGAAACGAATACTTTCGACAATATACTGATTTGAAATGTCGCGTGACGTCACTTCTATGTACATTTTATACGTAGAAATGACGTTTACTCCTAAACTTTGATATGTTTTATGTAAGTATTGGTTTATTATACGACGAAATAAAAGAAATACGTGTCTAATATTTTTTCATTACCTAACTTACGGACTAATTAGATTTTTAATTTTCATACCCTATCGCCATCTTAATTACAGGGAAGGTTTAAAAGGTAGGGGTAAAGATTTTTTAAGCGGTACGAACTTTACGGGGTCAGCTCGTTATATTTTTTGGTATAATATACAAATAATTTATTTTTGACAGTCATCATCTCTATACTATGTTTAGTAGTATGTTAATTTGCTCTGTCACGGTATTGGCGGTGGTTGCACGAAATTTTCCTATGTCTTCCTTATTAATATGTATATTTATCCTATTAATTTTACACTCTTTTGTTCTACAAAAATATTTAACTGTTATAAGTTCTTTTCTGTATCTTTTTCAGCATTTTCTATTGTTTACGGTGTCTGTAAAATCATGTTGTTTTTGTATATTAGGTGATGTTGAGAGTATTGTTTTGATAATGTCCATCTAGTCTAATATGGAATTGGTTGCCATTTTTTCAGCAGTCTGCTTTTGACTATTTTTTTAAATATTTTTTTTTTATAAAATATGATTCATCAATTCATTATGCAATTGTAATTGTAATGATTTTCTTTGTAATCACATTTTGTAAGTATGTAGGCAACGAACGAATAATGTTGTAATCACAATTTGAAATTATTTTGATTTAATGTTAAGTATTTTGTATATAAATGGAGTTGTATATTACGGATCATTTCTTTGAGGTTATTGTGATGGTTGTATATTTTGTTTATGTTTTAATATATTTAAAATAAAGGGAAATTACATTACTGTGTTTTTTATTTACGACTTTTGAGGTGTTTCTTTTCTCAGCGTCGTTGGTAGTAGTGGTCGCCGATGAGTTATAAATAATAATAATAAATTGAGAATCACACTAATAAAGTATTTTGTTTGTTTGGATGTTTGTCCGTCAATCACGCTGAAACTACTGAATGGATTTCGATGAAATTTGGTATACAGGCAGCGTATGGGCTGACTTAGGTGATAGGATACTTTATACCGATATATGCCTGAGGTATAAATGCTCTCATGGGATAAAACAGGAACACGAGGGCAAAGCCGCGGATAAAAGTTGGTTATAAATAATTTGGGAAAAATGGTCAATCGTCGAATCCAATTCGGATAGAGTTATACTAGATGTTTCTTTGCGGGATCGAGTCAGACATGAATCCTGATCTACATCACATACACTAACAGACACCGGACTAAAAAACAGAAAACACTGCTTCGTGCATGCGCCAATCAAGGACCCAGAAAAAACGGTGCTAACAATATAATACAATTTTACACAGAAATGAAACCTTAGTCCATCAAACTTGTCTATACTATAAAAAAAAACAAGGAACGAAAACTGCAACTTGTCAAAATTGTACCGGTGACAGAAAGAGTAAAGTAAGCAAAAAGAAAAATGTTTAAAATTATACGTTTAACGTGATAAAATGCTCGGCGTAGTGGTCGTATTGTGCGGTGTACTCGCACTCGGTGCCCCCAGCTCTGTCAACTACTGCGGCGCCAAGATGTGTGGAAATACCAATGCACATACATTCTGCCAGTTCCCTGTAAGTATTTATTGCACCAACAAAAACATCAACAGCTTGTAATAGTTGCACGGTTGGTACGGGTTCGATACCCACACGGAACAACTCTTTGTGTGATCCACAGATTGTTGTTCCGGATCTGGGTGTCATGTGTATGTGAACTTGTATGTTTGTAAACGCACTCACGCCACAGGAGAATTTTTAGTGTGAGGCAACGTAAACTAAATGAAAATAAATTAATAAAATAGTCAGCTACTAAACTCTTTTACAAAATAATGTTAGCCCGCCAGGCACGACGCACGACCACGTAAACTGGTCAGAGGATCAGGTTTTTATCCGATCTTGGGGAATATTACCAAGGTACCTGTTCCGTGAACTATCGTAGTATGCGAAGTGTGAAAACACTTGAGCAATTCATCATTAATTGATCGAATCGGAAATAATAGGTCACTATTATTTCCGATTCCCGGGTCGGACAAATACTACTGGGGTTTAAAAAAAAACTCAGTAGTAGCACGGAGTCTGGAAATGTGCCCTGTATAGGTATGGCAATGGATTCACTCCCTATTACATGGGATTCATAACATTAATAGTGAAAAGTGGGTGTTACCTCTGTGTGCACCTCTGCCTACCCCTTCGGGGATAAAAGGCGTGATGTTATGTTATGTGTTTTATAACGAATGATTCTGTAAACTGCATAGGAAGGTCCCAGCCCAGACTGCGTGGGTTACATAGAAGCCAAGCTCGAACCTGATGAGAAGACGAGACTATTGGACCGGCTCAACAGTCGAAGGAATGAGGCAGCCGGCGGTTTGCGAAGCTTCCCCCCAGCTGGAAACATGCTCACGCTGGTACGATAATGACCCTTTTGCATGCAAAAATTTCTGTAACATGAAGTGTTGTTTCTTTAAACGATTTTGTTAAGAGTTCCACAACTTAATGTTCCTAAATTCCTTTTTTTTATGGGATAAGCCGGTATACGAGCAGACGGATCAACGATGGTAAGTAATCGGCGTCGCCCATGGACACCTGGAACACCAGAGGCGTTACAAGTGGGTTACTGGCCTTTTGGGATTAGGAATTTGAGAATTGCGGAGGATTCGGGGATTGGAAAGACTGGGGAGGAGGGGTAATTGGGCCTCCGATAACCTCACTCACTTCTTCAAATGATTTTGTTAAGAGTTCTACAACTTAATGCTGATAGTAAAATTCTAACTACCACGATTCTCTATTCTCTAACAAAGGCATATTATAATGGTAGGTTGTATACCTGCCTATGTGGTTTTGTTGTTTGCTAGCGTTGGGTTGATGAGCTGGCTCGTGAAGCCCAGCGCTGGGCAGACCAGTGTCGCCCGCCGCGACCCCTTGAAGAACACGATGCCTGTCGTAATCTATGTAAGTGATTACCTACAACATTAAAACATTATCACAGTTCGTCTTATGCCAAAGAAGTCAATTCTGCAATAACTAGGTAAATCATAAGTTGTAGGGTGCTAGGTTAGACTATGTTAGTCAGGCGAGAGTAGGTGTTAGCGTAGTGTTCCACGCGCGCTACTCTAAGAAGGGAAGCAGCCTCCTAGGGCCGCTAAGGCGCCGGGACCTGCATAGCGCACCTAACATAGCGGTAGGTCGAGGCCTACCGGGTGTGGTGATTTCGTAAGGGCAACCCGGGTCACGGTCACAGGCAGTGATGGAATACCGCGGTGGTTTTAGCCGGTAAGAGTCCGGCACGCCCCACTGTCGTCCCCAAGACGTGGGAAGTCCAAGAGGATTTCCATCGCGATAGAAAAAAAAGTAGACTATGTTAGTCAGTTATCACAAAACAACTGAACCACATACGTCCAACAGAATGGACAGGTAAAAAATTATAACTCGAATCGAAAACTATGCAAAATCGTAGAATACATGGGGGTGATTTGGATCCTCCTCATCATAAAGTATCAAAATTTATGCTTGAACCTTAACTCCCCGGCCACCAAGTCTATATTCTTTCGAATTTGTATGGGACTATGCTGTACCCACATAACAATAGTTATCTACTTATTTTCGGACATTTTCACCAACTTTGGTAAGAGATCTAAGCTAGTCTGTTGACTTACAATGTGACTAGTTTTAGGAAGGCACTTTAACCAAACATGGCTATACAAGTAACCAAACATGCCCTAAATATAGTAATATAAAAGCTTATATCTTATTGTAATTTATCATCAGATTCGCTGACAGTCGGTCAATGTGTGGCGTCAGTAGTGGGCGAAGCGCCAGGACTTCGAGTGGAGTCCATGGTCGACATCTGGAACATACAAAGCATGCAGTACAAGGGCAATGTCACCTTCTATATGCCGTGAGCTTTAATTTATTTTAGTTACTAACGTCATTTAAATCTGTGTACCTAATTACAGTCTTTTACTCAACATAGATAATTATCACTTCTATTCCGCGCACTATCTGTTGTCACTGGTAACTATCACTATTCAGTGTGATCACTATAGAATGGATATAGTAATAGTGCGACAAACACTGTCACGGTACTACTATTTTTGGAGAATAGTAATAACCTTTCGTCTGTCTTGTTATAGTCCAAGTATCGGTGGCAAGTACTACGGTGACTTTGCTCAGATAATTTGGGCAAAGAGTTATATGGTGGGCTGTGGTCGCAGTCGATTTATGGTAAGTGAATTTTATTTTGGAATTACGTTACTTTTCGATGAAGTGCATGTTACATGTTCTTTTTTTTTTAAATACGTTGCCTCACATTAGGATTTTCTCCTGTGTCGTGGGTGCGTTTACAAACATACAAGTTCACAAACACATGACACACAGACCCGAAACAACAATTTATGGATCACACAAAGTGTTGTTCCGTGCGGGAATCCAACCCGCGACACGTTGCACGGCAGCCGGTTGCCCAGCCACCGCACCAACCGTGCAGTCATACTACTATACTTTATTTGCATTCTTTATCAGACGCCTGTGCAAGGTCGCCTTCGAAGTGTGGAGCGTCTGGTCTGCAACATAGCACCGTTTGGGCCCCAGCCGACGCGCCCATTATGGGCCCCTGCCGCACCAACTGCTTCCTGCCCACATCGTTCAGCGCAATCTCCCAAATGGCCTAACCTTTGTGATTACCGTTAGTATCTTACTGGTATAATAACTAGAAATAATGTATTTGTGTTAAATATAGAAACAATGAAAACAAGACACGAAATTGCTGCTTCGTAAAAATTTGTCACCATTTCAGAACGAAAGCATAACGATACTGAACAGTACGACCCATCTACGACGCTTGAAGATAATTTACTATTAAATACTATATTAGAAATAGAAGGAAATGAGACATTAGGTAGTATAGATGAGATTTACTTAACCAAACTGGCTATAGCAACAATGACGAATACATACAATGAATGGCAAATGGATTCGTTTACTACACAAACATATTTCAATTCGAAGCAGAGGAGAGAAGTTGTTGATATTGTAGATGTCATTAAGTTCCACGCCAATGATAGTACAGTTGCAATTGTACCTCAAGTGGTGACAACACAAAAGTCAAGTTTCGTGCAAAACACTTTAAAGAATACCGCAAGCGCAACGGCACCATTGCAAACAGAAACAACAACAGAAGTTACAAAAGCCACTCAAACAGAACATGAACTTAATTGGATCGGAGGACCAGCAATTTACAACATGGAAGATTTGGCTAATTTCATTGCAAAGCCAGAAAGTAAGTTGAATTTTAAAAGAATAATTGAATAATATTCAAATTATTTACCCGAGATCGTATATTTGCAGATATCAAACTGATTGAAGAACTACTTAAGAAGGAAAAGGATTTTTATGTTCATGCTAACAATGAATTTAATGAAACAACCATCTTTAATGAAACATCTGTAGTTTTATTAAATGGCACACAAGTTTCAAATGCTACTGGCGTCTCTCAAGTTCCAATTATCATTGATGATTACGAAAATAGTTTTACTGGTGTGTACGAAGTTCAAAGGATGTGTGTCGTAAAATCAATGGAAGTTTAAATGATTCTAATATTGATCGTGTTATAGTTGTAGATCCTAAAATAGTGGATGATGTAACAGCCTTGGATATGCATGCAACCCAAATGTATTTCAATGATTTATTAAGTAGTATTAAGCTGGAAGATTCAAACAGGAGTGACAACGAGACCGGTAGCGACAGCAGTAGTGGTAGCGGCAGTGGTGACTTTGAAGATGATGACAGTGAAAAACATCCAGATTTTAGCAATATGACAGAATATTTTTATAATGATCCCATTGACCGTAAGTTTGAAGAAGAACACTTAACCACGTAATTAGGAATGTTTACTTTTTTATTTTCTTTTGGTGTGTCGAAAACAATGCTATTTTTACTGAGTCTGGAATGTGAAGTTATTGTGTAGAATTTCAAATCAGTAATTATTGTTGTTTGTTCACAGCTGAAACGGTCCGTCAGCTACAAGAGGCTTTGGAACAAAGTGAATATGAAATGGAACAAAAAAAAGGGAAACAAGTAAAGGTATGAAACGTAATTAGGTACTATATAACATGGAGAAGAGTTAGCTTTTAGCCTAATTTCTTGGGGTATTATTTATTTTATCAAAAATTGTGTCATCGCCTTCAAGGCTTAGTCTTTCTTTCATCATCGATCTATATATGTTAATGATTATTGCTCCCATGTATTGTTTATAACTCTCTGCCAAGGCCGTTTCATTGCTTTATATCCTAAAATGTCTATATTTTATTCCGAATACCATTACCATAATTTTCCGCTGAGTAAACAAAAAAAGGAATAGTTATTAACTGACTGTTGTGCACCAGGTACGAAGGGACTTGCGCGACAGTAGCGAGAGCGATAGTCACCAAAAGCCAACAACACCACGTGGAAATGAGTTTCCAAGTAACAAACCAAAAGATGGTAATTCACTGTTCGATTTTTTTAACTTCGTGCCTTCAATGTCGGAGACACCAAACGAATATTCCAGTACAGCTAGCCACGCCATCCCGTCTCTTGTGATAGTTTTAGCCTTGTGTTTGTAAATGTCTTAGGTATATTTTAGATGTATTTTCCTTATTACTACTGTTTCGTTTTTCTTACAAATAAAGTTTTTTACATTATTGTTTGGTTCGTTTTATTTGTCCTTGTAATACTAGTAATACTAATTTAGGGAATGTCATTAGCGGGATTAGATAGTCTGGATAATTAAAATAAATATATAAGACTTACATAGCGTATTTATTATTCCTGCGCACATACATATATCGCGTTATATGTATAAGGTTATCATAATTTGGTTGAATTCAGCTGTGTCCTGCCCATTGGGCGTACAATAGTTGCTTGGGGAATGTTCCAATCATACAATCACACTGTCTGATAGGAACCATGAATGTGGTGGAAACCAAACAGTCGGTGATTTCTCCCGCCTCCTTGGGTGACGCGAGAGGGAGTGTCAGACATTTACTGATTTTAAACCACCCCGTGCCTACGCCTGCTCATAGAGTCGGAGCCCCAGCACCCTGTTAAGTCCTCCGCGACTTTGCATCGGGCATTAGCCCTACAGGGCCCCATCTGTGTTGGTCTCATGGCTCTTTGAAGCGCACAGTTCTAGTCTGCGAGCTATCCTTGATCGCCGTCCGCAGGCCCAGAAGGATCTCGGTACAGTGAATATTCTGAGAGCCAACTCAGAGCTAACAAAAACGTTAAGAAGGTTTGCTTGAACAGCCTTTGGTTACAACTAATTCTTCCATAATTCTTCATGCACCACAAACACGGAACCGAAACTGTCACCAAAGAGTATAAAAATATAGGGGAAACCGCAAAGAGTATAATAAGAACATCCCCTATACTTATTATACTCTTTGAAGAACATATAGGTACCTCTAGAAGAAGGAAACCGTCACAATGACTTCCCAAATACTTATACTCGTTGACAATGACACAATGACACAACACACAAGGCACAAGTGTAAATACATTCTGTTTAGATTTTGTTTAGAAAATCCTCTTACTTAATATTTGGAATGTAGAAAATTTTCCAATGTTATTAAATGTATAACGTGACAAAATGTTCGGCGTAGTGGTTGTATTGTCCTGTGTACTCGCACTCGCTGCCACCAGCTCCGTCAACTACTGCGGCGCCAGCATGTGTGAAGGCAATAATACACATACTTACTGCCAGTATCTAGTAAGTACCAAACATTGAATAAGTGATGCTTGCATATTACGCGTAGTATTTATATTTTTGTAGGAAATTCGTTGTGTTATCACCTCCGCGATAAAATATCACGCTACGGTCAATAGGCGCCGAGCAGAGTGGTCTAAACCGCAAGGAAGTAGCTAGTCTTTAATTTAAAATTGGTATCATTAAATTTTTTAGTTCTCTATACGCCTTTTTCCAAGTACACCACTGAACAGGCACGTTTTGGTCCGACTCTAATAACGAGGTATTCCATTACACAGGAAGGCCCCAGTGAGAAATGCGAAAGCTATACATACGGTCGACTAACGGCAGAGGAGAAGAAGAGCTTGTTGGACCGGATCAACGGCTTCAGGCTTTCTATAGCATTTGGAAAAATGCGCAGCTTTCCTCCAGCTAAAAATATGTTGAAAATGGTACGATACTCTGAGGACAAGAAATGTTGTAAATCGACACGAATCCAACTAAAGACTGGTTTGCATTAGCTTTCATAACATCACGCTTTTTATCCCCGAAGGGGCAGAGGTGCACATGAGTCCCATGTAATAGGGGGTGAGCTTATTGCCATATACCGGGCAATATTTCAGACTCCGTGCTACTACTGAGAATTTTTTAATACCCTAGTAATACTTTGCCGACCCGGGTATCGAACCTGAGAGTCGTACTTGCGACCACTCGACCAACGAGGGGACATTATCTTCTTATTAGTTTCATTAATATAGTGACTACATTTACGTAACATTTGTTTAGTTTCAATGTTATTTTACTTTGTCTAATTTCATTGTGGTCTGAACACCCTCAACAATGGACTCCGTCATTTCTGTTCCACAGTACCTAAATACGAGTCTCTATCTCATGTTATCGTTCAAACGTACTAGCACGTTCTGCATCACACTAAAATTATAAATGCGAGAGTTTCATTTCTTGGATGTTTGTCCGTCAATCATGCTGAACCTACTGAACGGATTTTGATGAATTGTAATTGGTACATAGGCAGGGTATGGGCTGACTTAGGTGATAGGATACTTTTTATCCCGACTAAATGTTCCCATAGTATCCCATGGGGTCTCAAACAGGAATAGGCGTGCAAAGCCGCGGGTAAAAGCTAGTATTATATAGTTGTAATAGGTTGGGTATAATATCTAAATCATTTTATTGTTTAATAGCATTGGGTTGAGGAGCTGGCTCGTGAAGCCCAGCGCTGGGCAGACCAGTGTCGTCCGCCGCGACGCGTCGAAGAACACGACACTTGTCGTGATCTATGTAAGTATGTAACTGAGGTTATGTGTACGTAGCTTTGTGTCATTATATTCTTTCTAAAAAGTAGTTTGTATTGAAGATGGAAGCTACTACAGTTGAGGGGTGTAGTGGGTTGTCTGCGTTGTTCTATGTCAGTCGACCTGTTCAGTTGATACATCAATTCAATTAACTCGTCGACAGTTCACAAAGCCTTCTTACACACTAGCGGTCAACCGCGCGGCTAACCGCTCCCTGCGGTTGTCCGCTTTTCCAATTTAATATGCAACCGCTATGGCAACCGCGTCTGTCGATATAAGCCGCTTAGGCGGTTAACCGCTAGTGCGTAAGGGGGCAAACTCTACTCCAGTGGCTTCCAGTGTCTCACCCGGAAACCATGTCGGGTCGTAGGCTAAACCTGGAGGAGGGGCTCGGAAACAACATCCTCCGAGTACTTGGTTGCCCACCAAATTGTGTCTTGAATAAAGCCTCAGTTACTCTCAGTATTGTGTTTTGTAGATTCCGTGACAGTCGGTCAGTGTGTGGCGTCGATGGTGGGAGAAACGCCGGCCCGAATCGAGCAACTGGTCGACATTTGGTACATACAAAGCGTTCATTACAAAATCAGTGTGCGCTACTACGTACCGTGAGTTTTATTATTTAAATATGATTAAAAGAAAAAATAGTATGTTGCTTAAGACAAGGAGACATGGGATCTGTACTCTAGCCCCCAGTTTTGCGAATAAGTTGGATTTGATAAGCATCATATCAACAATCAACATACAATTGATATCATAATGTGATAATAGGTACATTAATATCGATAATGTCTGCTGTTTGTCGTGAACAGTGAACACTAAGGCCTTATTATGCCTAAGGTAATTGTCCACGTAAACCGTATTTTTTTTTTAAAAACGTGCCCCACCCTACTATTTTCACCTGTGTCGTGGGTGCGTTTACAAACATACAAGTTCACATACACAATGACACCCAGACCCGAAACAACAATTTGTGGATCACACAAAGTGTTGTCCCGTGCGGGAATCGAACCCGCGACACGTTGCACGGCAGCCGGTTGCCCAGCCACCGCACCAACGTGCACGCTTTCGTGCACGCTTTCGTGTATTGACGATTGCATATTTCTGAACTGTGTCCACGAAGCGGTAATGCTGCGTCAATCACTATTTAGTCAATACGTATATCATCGTTTTGTAAGTTGTATGCATTCGTCAAATGGCACGTCGTGAACAGTAGGGATTATGTCACATTTTCTGTCTTTGTAGTCCAGGTAATGGTAGCAAATACTACGGCGATTTTGCGCAACTCTTTTGGGCGCAAAGCTTTATGGTGGGCTGTGGTCGCAGTCGATTTATGGTAAGTCCATTGTCGTTAGATCGTTCGTTTTATATTTAAAAAGTAATCAGTTTTTCTATAATAATGGTCAACACTTTTGTCTTTCGGAACATATTTGTCTTAAAACTTTTGTCAAGTTTTTTTGTATTTTATCGTATCTATAATTATAATGTAATTATAATGACTGCCTCGTTGGCCGAGTGGTCGCAAGTGCGACTACCGGGTAAGGGGTCTCGGGGTATATGGAAATAGGCGCCCCTATTACATGGGACTTATACCGTAAATAGTGAAAAGTGGGTGTTACATTGTACAGTTGCATAATGTACACCTCTGCCTACCTATTCGGGGATAAAAAGCGTGATGTTATGTAATTATATATTTTATCTTTCATTAGGCACCTTGGAAAGGTCGTGTCCAGAGTGTGGAGCGTCTAGTCTGCAACGTAGCACCGCGTGGGCCCCAACCGGGGCACTCAATATGGCTCCCCGGCCCTCCAGCTACTTCGTGCCCAGATGGTTCGATGCCATCCGACACATCGAGATTCCTTTGTGAATATGGTTAGTATCATGCTGGTTCAATAACTTCGGCTTGTATTAACAGTTTGACTGCCGATAGAAAACTGTTGAAGGTAAATCCTTCGATGGTGGATACCTTGTCCCCCATGGCGTTCAAGGTGTTAAATATTGGAAATAATACGTGTATTCCAACAAGAATTTACATTGCAAGCAAGATGATGAACCATGAACATTTGAATGAAACTGAACAAATGAAGTTCTCGGTTCTATTTTTAACCGACTTAAAAGAAGAGGAGGTTCTCAATTCGACTGTTTTTGGTTTTTGAAGTCGATTTTTTAAACGCAGTTTTTTATTATTTATATGATTTGGTTTCTTAGCAGTGTAGGCTACATAGCCCTGTGTGGTAAAATTGAAATTAAAATTACAATTTCAGAACAAAAACAAAATAAGATTGTACCACCCGACTCATTGCAAGTACGCCGCAATTTACTTTTAAATACTATATTGGAAGTAGAAGAAAATGGGACATTGAACTATTTAGGCAGTATAGATGAGGTTTACTTAACCAAACTGGCCATAGCAAAACTGAAAAATTCATTACCGATAAAGGCACACTTCAATTTGAAGCAAAGGAGAGAAGTCAATGATAGTACAACTGCATTTGTACCACAAGTCGTAGCAGTACAACCATACGTACAGGACTCTGCGAAAATAGCTGCAAACACTACGTTACGATTG